ACAAAAAATGCTGGGTCTCCAACTTCGCACCGGCTGACCAGGGTTCTTGGACCCAGTGGTTTGCCAGGCATGCCATCGAGTTCAAACACGTATTCAAGCATTCTTCTGGACAGAGATCAGTTGCCGCATCTTGCAGCCAAGTTTTCAATCTTCTTTCTTGGCTGTCGTCTATTGCTCTATTCCCCAGTGAGGCTCCCACTTCGCACTTCAAGATAGCTCCTCTTGATCGGTTACACGATGAGACTGCATGTGATCATCTTTGGGCACTGTAGCTTTTTGCGTTTCCAGCTAAGAAACCCAAACCTGCTCATCCAATAAGGAGCAACATCTCCGCACCCTTCCCCACGGGACTCCCCCTCGTCTCTTTTCGCCCAGATGCAATTTTCTTGTTGTTCTCGAATGGCAACGTTGCATGCATAATTCAATCGGTACTGTGGCGTGGCGTGCCGTCACTCTTCCCCAGCTTGACGCTGGATTACATAGGATGCGTATGGGATTGTGAGAAGGGGGATGGATCGGGCCTCTCTGCCGCGTTGGATTATTGCTCTGTTGCGCTGAGAGCAGGTGGCATGCAATGTAAGCCGTGCGAGGCTCTCAACACATGTGATTCCTCCATTCACTCTTGCACATTGTTTGGCGGGTTTGTTTGTTTGGATCAGGGGCACCTGTACCTGAGTTTGCCCTAGGCTCGTGTGCTCGTTCTGGGCCGTCAGCGCCTGCCAGGTTCATTTCGTCTCCGATATGGCCTTCCTCCTCATTTTCCTCCTCCCTCCCTCCAGCGTCCGTTCGATCAGAGGCCCCACTTGTGGGTCCAAGCTTCGCACTTGGCACAGGTGTGCGCTCTCAGCCGTCTGCTCTTGCTCGAATTTCCAGAATGTCTATGCACAACCCCTGGCGTTGCCCCTTCAGTTGGATGAGTTTGAAGGCGCTCTCTTTGTTGTTGTGTCCGAATCTTAGGCTGCTCGCGATTCCTTTGGCTCGACAGGCCCTGATCCCCCGCCACATCCTTCTCCGTTGCCTCCAGAAGCTGTGCAAAATAATTCGGCTAATCGTGCTACGGCGCTCTCCGGTCGGAAAGCCAGAGAGCGCGAGGGCAAAAATATCCTGGTCTGCCTAGACGGGCTGTCTACGTACACGACACAGCCGCCACATCATCCTGACACAAAATTTCCGAGCAAGCTGGCTTGTCGGAAATTCATGCCGTTTTCGACGGCGTCGAGGCGCCTTCGGGGGGTTAACTTTCATAATCTCCGACTCCTCTCTTGCAACGTCATTCCTACAACCCGCGCCCTCACATACCCGACGTCGGCTATGAACACGATGTGTGCTGCGGCTTCATGGAGGGTGGGAGGATGAAGGTGGGTGGGAGGCGCGTTCAATCCGATGGAGAGCACTGTACTCTCAATTCTTGTAATGTTTTCTTTCTCCCTGGGTTCAGGTCCCGGGGTGAATTGAGCCCGCTGAGCTGGGAACCCTGGGCTGTGGCTCTCATCAGGGCCTCCCCCCCCCCCCCCGGAAACGGCACGCTTGCGGGCACATCTGTAGACAGCCGATCCGATCCTCCTCTTCCTCCTCCTCCTCCTCCTCCTCCTCCTCCTCCTCCTCCATCCTTCTCTTGCCTCCGTCTGTCCTCCTTCACCCCACAGCTCCATCATCTTTTCCTCCTCTTCCGCCTGCTCCTCCTCCTCCTCCTCCTCCTCCTCCTCCTCCTCCTCCTCCTCTTCCTCCTCCTCCTCCTCCTCCTCCTCCTCCTCCTCCTCTTCCTCCTCCTCCTCTTCCTCCTCCTCCTCCTCCTGCTCCGTCTTCTCCTTCCTGTTTCCTCCTCCTCCTCCTCCTCCTCCTGCACCGTGCCTCCTGCCTCCTGCCTCCTCCTCCCCCCTCCCTCCTCGTTCCTCCTCCTGCTCCTCCTCCTCCAACTCCCCCTCCCCCTCCCCTCCCCCGCGTCTTCCCCCTCCTCCTCCTCCTCCTCCTCCTCCTCCTCCTCCTCCACGTGCCAACGGTGCGCAGGGCTCCTGTCGGATAGTCGGGTTAGGACGCACAAGGCGCCTGTAAAGAGACCATCAGCCTCCGAAGAACACCTCACCCGAGCCCTCTGGAATTACGCCACCGGGGCGACACAGGCAATCCGGTTTCAAACAGGGGTCACCCCAACCTCACTTGAAAATCGCCATATCAAGCGGGCATAGTTTCCCAGCTCCTGCATACCTGCCGCATTTGGCATTCGCACGAGGTGTATTACCTCCACAGGACAGCGCCCTGATCCAGCTGTATGGGGGTGGGCCTTCCCCAATCTTGCAACTTTGTAGAATATAAAAACTGCCAATGTCAATACCGGGGCTGAGGCCCCTCATGCGTCGGGCAAGGAGGCAGAGAACTATACACTCACGGATTTCGCCTGTAGCCAGACCCGCGCATCATCCTTCACGCTTGCCGCCGCTGCCGCCGCTGCCGCCTGCGCCACTCAGGGTCGGGGACTAAGAACCACTGCGCAGCAAGTTCGCAATAGCCCCACACCCGCTGATTCGACAGGATCAGCTTGCCAGCAGTAAGGCTGTTAGGGCAAGGGACTACGGACCACTGCATAGGAAATTCGCGGTAGCCCCTGGCCCGTTGATTCGACCGGATCAGCAAGCCAACCATACAGAACAAGGTGGCACTCCACCCGCTGCCTGGTAGGGCCAGGGACTACTGACCGCTGCACAGCAAGTTCGCAGCACCCCCTGGCCTGCTGATTCGACTGGATCAGCGCGTCAGTAGCATGTTGAAGCTCTAGACCCTCATGCAAAGCACTAATCATGCTTGGACTTGAACCCTTCATGCGTCAACATGCGGTAGCTGGGGCTACGGCCCCCCATGCACCTTCACATCCATGCTAGGGCGTAGCCTCTTTTATGCTTGTTTCTTGTTGCTGTTACCCGCGCGGGTACCTGAACAGGTACAGTGCTGGGGCCTTGGCCCCTCACAAATTGGCCCATTGCTGGGGCATTGGCCGTTCATGTTTTGACCCCTCATGCCGGGGTTTCGACCCCTCTTTCGCCGACCCCTCATTCCGGGACCTTGCCCTTCATGCGTCGACCCCCAATGTCGGGGCTTCGGCCCCTCATGCGTCGACCCCTCACGCCGGGGCCTCGGCCCCTCATGCGTGTGACCCCGATTCGACTTGATCAGCGCGTCAGAAGCATGATGGGACTCTGGACCCTCATGCAGCGCAGTATTCATGCTGGGGCTTCAGTCCCCTACGCGTGAACGTGCGCTTGCTTGGGCTGAAGCCGCTCATGCACATGACTAGCATGCGTTTCCTCTTCCTCCGTCCTTCTCCTTTCCCTCTCCCCCAGGTTTGAGAACGTTCGGCAACAGGCCAGCATGCGCGTCCTCTTCCTTCGCCCTCCTCCTTTCACCCCCTCCCAGGCTTGAAAAGGGCTGCGCTGGCCAGCCCAGTGACTTAACAAAATGGGGTCCCCCCCTGGCTCCCAGGTTCTTGAAACCAGTCCCATGAAGTGGGGTGGATCATATCCCCCATCTCATCGCAGGGTCTGCATCTTGGAGAGTGGCTTAACAAAATGGGGACACTCTGGCTCCCAAGTTCTTGAAAACACAATCCCAAAGAGTGGGATAGATCAGATCCCCCATATCATCGTAGGGTCTGCATCTTGGAAAGAGGGATAAGGGATACATACCCTCGGCGGCGGAACAGCACCTGCCTAGGCAGGCCAAGCCCGGGGGACGCTTTGGAGGGGGGAGTGTCGCGTTTGCCCCTCAGGGGTTCGAGCAGTCAGTCAACACCGGCGCAAAGGGGCAGCCTTCCTCGAAAGGGGGGGGGGTCACCCCGGTTGTCGTGAGGCAGAGGTGCCGAGAGGCAGCCTTCGTCACATCGGGTCCCACCGATTTTAGACACTCCCTCCCGGGCGCAAGCGTTCGCAGTGACCGGCAGGAGGAGGTCTATCTTGCAGGGCTCGCACACCAAAGGATGTATTAATGTTGATTATTTCGTCTGTTATTACCCCAACCCCCACGCGGGGATGGTAGCAATTTGGTCCCTGGGGGGACTGGAGCAATCTCGGCCCCAAGAGCGTTCCGTTGTCGATACATGCAGTGGTCGATGCCGCCCGGTGGCCGCCTGGCTCATGTCTTTCCAGCGCCCTTGTGGGGCACATTGTCACCTGAGGAGGCATATTGGCCCAAAGTGTGTCCTTAGGTGACTACCCTGCAGGGTCGGCCCCTGGGACGTCTGTCCCGTGGCAGTGGTCGGGCTTTCCGCAGCCGTAGGGACTCGAAAATGCAAGCCCAAGGCCCGTACGTGCCGCCTGCAGGGGCCTGGGCCCCAGCGGCGTTGCCACACCGACGCTGGGGATGCAGTTCCCAGCGTCCGCCTGACCTGCCAGGGTCCCTGCACCATGCGCAAGCGAAGGGACCTCGGAATTCAGCGGCGGTGGAAGCGCGCGGACCGATCTTGGGATCCGACTGATCCCCAGAGGGGAACCGCTCGGCAGCGCACGCCAGGAGGCAATCTGCGGACCACTGCTGCGGCAAGTTCGCTACTCCGACTTGGAATGCCACCCCGTAGGAGCCCGATTCGATAGGATCGCTTGAGGGCATGGGGTGAGGAGGGGGATGGCGGCCAGCGAAATCGATAAAAAGGTGGAGCATCGACCAGTGTTCCGCACTAAGCACCTCAGTATCGTGGCTATCCGTCATCACCCACTTTAGGCTGCGAGGCGGACGCCCGCATCGGCCAGACTCCGCTTCCCTAGGGGCCGAGGTGCCAGGTCCGACCCGCAGCCGAAGGGTTCATCTGAGATGATCCTTCTCTTGCTCCTCCTCCTGCTCCTCCTCCTCCCCCTCCTCCTCCTGATTACCCTTCCGCCTCCTCATCCTCCATGCTCCCTCCTCCCTGCTCTCTCCTCCCTCCTCCCCCCTCCTCCGCGCCTCAATGTGCCAACTTTCAGAGCGGGGGCGGAGTGCGAGACGATCCCCTGGCGGGCCCCGCGGGCCAGTCGCCTTCAGCGGGGCGAGTCGAAACACGACATCGCGTCGGAGTCGGGGGACGACGGCCTGGCGGTACGGGCCGGCGGCCCCGGGAGTGGAGGCAACCCTCGCCCTCCAGGAGGGGGTGCAGAAGGCGGAACGCAGCCTGAATGTCCGCGGACTCTGCCGTGCTGAAAAAAGCAGCTCACGGAACCTTCTGGTCATCCTCATGGCCCCCACTAGCGCGCACAATAGCGCAAAACGCGTACGCGGTACGTTCAATGCAGGACGAGCGGGAACTTCCGTGAGTTGCTATCTAACCGTGCCGCTCCCCGCCCCGCCAAAGGGGAGGAGGCAAGGCCTGGACCCGCGGGCGCACATTGGCGTGGAGGAGCCGGGCCTTGGAGGAGAAGGGCTCCCGAAGTCCTGGTCGCCGCTCGCGGTGCTCTCATGGGACCCTGGGGCCGCCAGGAGAAAGACCCATGGGGTGAAGAGCTGGTGGCCCTGAAGAGGAACGCCCTGGCGACTAGACCCGGCTTTCCTCAGGACCACGGTGACGTACGGGGAGGAGGAGGCAAGGAGGTGAGGACCACGGGCGACGAGGCCATGGGGCGAGTGAGAGTCTCCCTCGAGGAGGACAGCTGAAATGAGTTGCTCAACTCACGCCGAGACTGGCCACGAACGACCCCCGAACCAACGCAACCTTGTGAGGGGATGGCAAGCGGCAATGATCATGGGGCAACCCCCCCTGGCAGGCCCGGCGGGCGCCGCCCGCGAACAACGGCGAACCAAGTATGGCGCCGCGAAGGAGGCTGAGGAGGCGAAGAGTTGGAAGGATGAGGGGATTGACATACCTGCAGGAACACTTGGAAACGAATGCCTCTTTGCCAAAAGGCGAACTCTGGAATTCCGAACGGCGGGACCTGGAATCCCAGACGAGGCGAAAGCCGGAAACCGACTCCAGGCCAAACCCAGACACCGACAAGCCAAACCCGCAACCTACGCCAGACCAACCCCGGACACCGACGCCACGCCAAACACCCCAAATCAACGCCAGAGGAAACGCCGTCGCCGTCGCCGCCGTCGTCTCTCGCGTCACATTCCCTCCTCCTCCTCCTCCTCCTCCTCGCCCTCCTCCCCCTTCCCCTCCTCCGAGGACGGAGGGGGGGAGGCTGTGGAGGAGGTCATCTTCAGGCAACTCCTCCTCCTCCTCCTCCTTTTCTCGCCTCCTCCTGCCTCTTCCTCCTCCTCCTTCTCCTCCCTCTTCCTGCTCTCCCATGCTCCTTCCTCACGAAAGAGGAGGGTGCAAGATGTTGCGCTCATCTGCGAGGTCGTTCTGGAATCGGTCGCCGACATCATTTTTCAGGGGGGAGTCGGTGGCGGTCTCTACACTTCCATTCCGTCCTCCTGGCCGCAGCGGCGGCACGCATCGGAACGAGGGCGAACGGAATGGGGAAGGTTCCCGATACGGGCCCAACCGCAAGGGAAAGGGGGAGCTGGGCTACCGCTCCAAAAGCAAAACGTGTGGTACGAAGACCGCGGACGCGACGCCTTGCGTGGCCTGCGAGGCTCACTGCTCGACCAGCTACACCCTGACATGCACCGCACGAGGCACAACGCACCAAACATGGCAAATCCAGGCAGAGCGCATGGCAAATCGTAGCGTGAGTGGCAAGCGACGCCCTGGCGGACGAGGTACAAAAACCTCGTGGGCCACAAGGCGGAAGCTCTACATGCCGCCACGCTGGTCCCGGGCAGGCTGTGCTGCCCGGCGGAAGGGGACGAGGAGGGGAGAAGCAAACAAACGACGACGCACGCCCAGGCGGGAGGCCACGGCCAGCGGGGCGGGCCCGACCTCTCGACCACCTCCCCGGGACCGATTGCTCACTTTCTGACAGCCCCGAGGCTGGGCCGCCTCGATCTTTTCGAGACGCCCGATGCCCGGAGAGGAGGCGCTGAGAAAGGTGACGTGCCGCGCACGGCTCCCGCGCCACGCCCGGTGGAGGAGACCCGTGGCCCCACCGCAGGGCGAGCCCTCCTCCTCCTCCTGCCCCCTGGGACGGCGGAGGGGACCGAGGGCGGGGACCCCCAAGCGGTGAGGTAACCACGGCACATGAGCGACGCCTAGGAAACGGGTGTCGCGCGAGATGGCATGCCGACCATGCGCCGCGGCCTACACGGGCCGCCAGCGCTGCACGCCGTGTGGGGAACGGAGGTGCTTACGCGCGAGCTTGCGGGGGAAACTGACGCGCGGAGGTTGGCGCCGTTGGGCTTGTGTTTTTTGTTCGTTCGTCGTCCATGTGGTGGGTCAGTGGGGATGCGGGGTCACCTCACGGTTTTGGGACTCGGGTCCTTCTCCCAGGACGTCTCGGGCGACCAGGGCCTCTGGGGTCCCAAGTGCGGTCACGGACCGGCGGTGAGGTCTTCAAAGATCTCGAGCACCACGCGGTCTGTCACCCACCACACGATTTTGGGACCCCCAATAAACACAACCAAGGTGCACGGCAGGTGGAGCCTCCGTGGGCAGCAGCAGGAGGAGGAAGCGGCAATGAGAGAGAGGAGCGAAGAGGGAGGAGGGCGACGAGGAGGGAAGAGGGATGAGGGAGATGAGGTAGGGAGTGAGAGAGAGAGAGAGAAACATGTTTAATAAGAACACGGGCATAGGAGGGACGGGGGCGATTAGATTTAGTCTGGGTCGATTCTGGCAAACTCGACCGCCCCAGAATGTCCAAAATGTCTCCCCGCTACTTTTTCTCTGGAATCTTCAATCTCCAAAACCTCTTCCCGCGAACTTCGCGCCCAACAACTCTCACACGAAATCTCAAAAATAACTGTGCGCCAGAAGGTCTCACACGAAATCTCCAACCAATATTCGCGCCTTACGAACCTCCTAAACAAATCTCCAAACCATCTTACATAAATCTTCGCGCCGTACGAATATCCCAAACAACTTGCAGCAATATCATCGAAATCTTCGCGTCTTACGGATACCCATAAAACCCCAAACAAAGCATGAAAAAAACAGATCAAAACATCTCGCCAGAGATGTTCCAAATATTCTCCTGAATATTTGAGCCCAGAGATTTCCCATATATTTTTTTTAAACGGCCAAATTCAGTTTGGAGATTTCCCCAGAGATGTTCTTGATAGTGTTTGCCAAGAGGGCCCCAGTCGCGTTTGCCATATTGACCTAAACTATGCTTAGATACAACAGATTAGGAGGATGGAGTGCGCGCGACGGGGAGGATGAGTCAGAAAGAGGAGAGCAAAGAGCAGAGGATGAGGATGAGGGAAGCGGATGAATGTATGAAGTGGAGGAGGGAGAGTGCGAGGAGGAAGGAGGGATCCCGGAGGGAAGAAAGAGGAGGTGATGAGGAGAGACAAGGAGGAGGACGATGAGGAATGAGGGGTGATGGGATGAGGGCGGGGTGCGATGAGGAATGGGACAGGCAGGAGGGAGCGTGGATGAAGGGTGTGATGAAGGCGTGGGAATGGTCTCACTTCCGCGGGCTCCCGCCCAAGTTCAAATGACGGGACCACCCTGGCTTCAATCGGCCGATTTCTGCGGTTGTTGTTACCAGCCTCTGCCAATGGCGAGAGGTCAGCGCATGGCTGTGCTCAACGACCCACATGCGTGCCCCCTCGCTCCCCCCCGCACCATGGGCGTCGAGAGGCAAGGACCACTCCAGACACTCACGCCCTGCTAGCATTCCCCCCAAACTACCTGAAACCTCCAGGACCCCTCCTCCTCCTTGTCCTCATCCTCATTCTCATCCTCATGCTCATCATCATCATCATCATCATCATCATCATCATCATCATCATCATCATCATCATCATCGTCATCATCATCAGCATCATCATCAGCATCATCATCAGCATCATCATTATCATTATCATCATCATCCTCCTCCTCCTCCTCACCATCATCATCATTATCATTATTATCATTATCATCATCACCACCAGCGGTATTATCATCACCACCATCATCATCCTCATCATCTTCATCAGCATCATCATCAGCAGCATCATCACCCTCATCCTCATCCTCATCAGCATCATCGCCATCACCATCACCATCACCATCACCACCATCATCATGATCAGCATGATGAGCCTCATCATCCCCAGCCTCATCAGCCTCATCATCCTCGTCCTCATCATCATCAGTATCCTCGTGGTCGCCTCCTCCTCCTCCTCCTCCTCCTCCTCCTCCTCCTCTAGGCAATGATAATGTCATTACGAATTTGGTACATGATACGTCCTGGAAGTCGGGGGTTTCTAGCATTTCTCGGCCATTCGTACTCGGGCATTCGTCTTCGGCGTGGAAATCCTGGGACGACTCATTATCACTGCGTCTCCCTCCTCGGATCCCCCTCCCACCGTTCCTCGTCCACCTCCCCCTGCCAACATCCCTCTCTTTTCCCCTCTCTGGGGAAACCAACAGCTACCGCTACCGCTACTTCCCAAACCTCTCCTGGGGCGCGGTCTGACCAAACTAACTGGCCGAATCCAGCCAGCGTTGGCGACGAGGGCCTCCCAGAAGACCAAACAAATGGAAAACGAGGCAAAGGTGGCGGTAGTGGTACCGTTTCCTCCGCCGACCCTCCGTCCCTCTCCCCACCCATCTCTCCCCCTGGCGCCCACCCACACCGCATGCGGGGTTGGAGGGACCCCCGCCGCTGCCCGCGGGCGCCTGCGCCCCCACGCGCACTTGCCAGCGCGTCGCCTGCTGGGCGCGTCGTCGACGTCGTCGCCTTCTTCGGCTGGCCGATTGCGAGGTCAGAGAAAGCGACTACCCCCACAGATTCCAGAAGCTCGTCGCGGTCGAAGCTACGGAAGGAGGCGCTGCGCGGTGGAGCACTGCGCGCTGCACGGTGCGCAGAAGGGAAGCAGTAAGAAGATGCCGCGGAGGAGGGAAGACTAGACAAGCCCGTTCAACTACTCGCATAATACCTACTACATGACCTGGATCCTTCGCGGGGGATTTACGATCCATTCTATGTATGAAGACATGTATTGTTCGGGCGTTTGCGATTAGGCGCTTTGCGAGTAGGGGAACGCGCTCCGTGAAAAACAGCAAGAATCCCGCCCAACTGCTTACCTTAACACGTTGCTTTATCCGCCAACGTGCCCCCTGGCGCGTGGAGGCGTGATATAATGTCAACTGCCTGGCAATCGCGACCTCCTCCCCCCTGGCAGCGTCAAGGTGCGCGCACCGCCTCCACCGACCAACCAAGGCTTTCTGGGCGGCCTCCCTGGCGCTCTCCAAAGCGTCCAAGATGTCCAAGATGGCTTCGACGATGGGCCAAGCAGCTCACCAAGGCTGCCAAACACAAGATGCCTGCGACACGGCCCACGCTGGCCCCAAGACGGCCCAAGATGGCCTCAAGACTGCCCAAGATGCCCTCAAGAGGGCGACTCAGGGACCCCACAACGACCACGACGGCTCAAAGACTGCTCAAGACGGCCCGAAATGGCCCAGAATATTCCCCGAAACTGCCCCACAAACACCCGAGAAAGGATGGACGAAACGGAAGAAGACGACGGGCATGAGAAACACACCCCCGACACACCGCGGAAGATCTCACATGTGACGGCTCCCCCAAGCCCGGGAACATGAGACGCCGCACGTCACAGGTTTCTGAACGCTCCCCGAACAGCCGCCGCCCAAAGCACCAGGCTAGCACGACGACGGGACTTTTCTCAGTCAGTTGGGTAGCACCACTACCAGCTTCTGACACAATGTTAAATACGAGACTCTCTTAACAGTGCTTGCATTTAGGGGCTCCCGCTTGGCTGTCTTATGTAATCCCACCAGTGTCCATCGGGCGACAGGTGGTCCAAGGAGGGTCTCTGTCCTCTTCCACAACCCCTCTTCCCTTCAGGGAGGTGCACAATCCCCCTCCTCTCCCCGAGGTTTTTTGGAGGGATCGCGAGGTGTCGGAAACTCCTTTTTCGGCCAGTGGGAGTGCCACTCGTTGCCGCCCCGCACTAGGATCGTGGCCCCCGAGAGGTGGGACGAACGTCGAGTACCCCCCTCTTTTGACTGGCCGCCTCCAAGATGGCCCCAAGAGGCCCTCCAGGGTTCCTAAGAGGCCCCCAAGAGGGCCCAAAGAGCGCCCCAGGAGGCCTCCAAGAGGCACCCGAGAGGCCTCCGAGAGGTCCCGATCGGCCTCAGGGAGCCCAAGATGACCTCCAAGATGGCTCAGGTAGCCTAAGCTGGCTCCCAAGATGCTCCAAGCGACCCCGAGACCGCTCCAAGACGGCTCGAGATAGCCACGAAGCCCCTCGAGCCTCCCTCGCTATTTGACTATGCGTGTCTCTTCCTCTCACCCCCCCGTCAACTCTCATGGGCATCGTTTCTGGATGGGCTGGTGGGGATATTTTTGTTGTTTGTTTGGTCGCGGGCGGACGCGGAAACGCAGTCGCCGAAGGAGAGGTCCGGGCCAAGGGCCTGCCAAATTGGCCACGCGCGAGCCTAAAGCGAAGCGGCCCAGCCCGCACTCAGAAGCAGCCGCAGGTGGGGCCGCAGCTGAAAGGAAGCTGGCTGAGCTGACTGCAGATGGCCAGGGTAGCGGATGCAACATGCGGGGGAAGGACGCCGAAACGCCAAAGTGGAATTAAGTCCTGCACGCCCGGACATCATGATTGGCTCTCTATCTGCAAAGCACGCATCAAACTAGCGGAGCGCCTCCACTGCCGGGCCATACCAGTGGGCGGCGCGCTACCAGGAACGAGCAGCTGGAAGCAACGCATTCGAGCTCAGGTACCATGGGCATGGGGGGCCAGGTACGAACTGACCATGTCGCCACAGGGCGCACTCTGGTGGGGATACTTTTTGTTTGGTCGCGGCCGCGCAGCAGAGGGCAGGCGGCGAAAGGGGGTCCGGGGCGACGGGCCAGCCTAGTTAGCTACTAGGCGCAGCGCAAGCCGGCCGGGCCAGCCCTCAGAAACGGCAGCTGGAAAAGGCAGCGGCGGCAGGGGGCTGACTGGCTGAACTGCAACGCCCAGGGAAGCTCAAGCATCATGCAGACCTGTGGCAACGTGCCTGGGAAGTCCGAACTGAACGCCGCGGCGCCAGTCCACCAAGGTGCAGGTGCCATGCCGCGTCGAAGAGTGTTCTGCAAGCGCGATCCGCACAAACACTGTAGCAAGTGAAGGCCAGGTACAAACTGGTCATGTCGCCAGAGGGCGCCAAGGGCCAGAGCCGTGTCGACGGCATGGACCTGCCTGGTGAGCTGGGACGGGTCGAGGATGGAAACATAGCGTCTGCAGGAAGGCTGGGCCACTCCGCGGCGCCGCACGTGTATCCTGTGGTGGACGCCAGTCCCGAGCAACAAAGAAGATGGACCTAGCCCGGAAGGCGACTGCACTTGAAGGCCCGGCCCAGGGTCACGACGTGAGCGCCGTAGAGAACCGCCTGGCGGGGATATTTTTTTGGTCCGCGGCTCCGAGGCGAGAGACAGGGAGCGAGCACAACGTCCGGGGCGCGGTACGTCGTTAATTGGTGCGAGATTGCCGCGGAACGCAGCGGACAACACTCGCAGCGGCACATGCACATGCCAGGGACAAAATGCCCCTCATTGTTACGCATTTCAGCGTCTGCTGGTGACCGGCCCAGTCAGCCCGGCTGGTGGGGAAGCAAAAGGCGCGGCAACGAGGATGCAAAGGAACCGGGAAGAGAAGTCGCCCTTGCGGCGCGAAGCCCCAGCCGAACCGCAACCGTAAGCGAGGCCAAGACGGACAGCAAGACACTGTAACATGCCGCGGGCAGAACGCGAGTCCGAGCCGCCAATGACCAGACGGAGCCCACGTGTGTGCACACTGACCCAGGCCGTCCAAGACCTCGGAAAAGGGGGGGTGGGCGCGAGCGAATGCAACTAACTCAGACTCACTGCGCCTCCACGAGTATACGATGATGCGGCGAGGGTGACCCGGCTCGCCAAGGCTCACTGAAGCTGAGGTGTGGCTGATCCGCGTCCGAGCACCATCCAATAAGAGGCAGACCACTGGTGTGCGCTCACGTGGCTGAGCAACCTCCAGCCGGTGGCCTGTGCGCTCATATCGTATCCGAATCACGCTGTTCGGGGGCACGGCGATGCAATTGTACTGTCGAGGGCTAATGGCTGTGGCTGCGCCGAGAAGAGCGAAACGAATTCGAACCGCAGAAGGCTGAACCACTCAATGCGGGGCCGTTCACTTTGACGAAGCCAATCACCATGAGCAAGGCGGACAGCCGCACCCACTCAACACCTGACACGCTGCCCGTGCAGAAGCCAAATACCTCCGACGCCAGGGCGAATCGATAGCTGTCAGCTGCAGAGCTGCTGGGCCGTACCGTTCGCTGGCGGCGTGCTGACGGCGGGCGAACACGTCCTTGTAGTAGAACCATGGCCGGGTCGGCGACGAAGGAAGAACCGCTGTTCCCAGGGCAGGTCTCAGGGCAGACGAGCTCCTGCGGCCGGCGCAATGTGATGGCGCTGGTGGGCCAGGGGGGGCGCAGCCAAAAGCCGCTGAACACAAGTGCCAATGAGGGGAGGAAGGGTGGTGGGGATACGCGAAGCGTCAAGAATTGGATGCGTTTCCGGCATTTGCGCCACCTTCCCGCTCGTGGGCGCCTCGTCGCAACGTTCCCGCTCTTGAGCGTTCCTGGGCACTGGATGGTTTCCCGAAGTTTCGCCACGTTCCCACTCGTGAGCGCTCACGGGCGCCTCGCGCGCTGGGAGAATTTCCTGAGGTTTCGCCACGTTCCCGCTCGTGGACACCTCGTGAGCGCTGGGTGGGTTTCCCGAGGTTTCCCCCCGCTCGCGGGCGGCGCCTCGTAAGCGCTGTGTGGGTTTCCCGAGGAATCGCACCGTTCCCGCTCGTGAGCGCCCTCGTAGCTCCCCCCCCCCCCCTTCCCCCCCCCCCCCCCCCCCCCCCCCCCCCACACACACACACACACACACACACACACACACACACACACACACACACACACACACACACACACACACACACCAGAATTCACATCACGTAGCTTACACCGTATAGTTCACCCCACATAGGTTACCAGCCTGTACCACATGCCTTACACAGCCTAGCTTGCACAACGTAGCCTACACCAGATATATTACATGGCATAGCTCACACCAAAGCTAGTTAACGCCGCATACCAGACCACATAGCCTACACCATATTGCTTACATCGCATGAGATCACGCCACATGTATTACACCGCATGTCTTGCACAACATAGCTTGCACCGCATAGCATCCACACCATGATCGCTCAAACCACATAGCTTTCACCTCCACAGCTCAATACCTCACTGTTTGGGGTTCACTCTCACTCTGGCTAGATTCATGTTCTGACGCACTATTGCAAGGTAGAAAGTTGAGCCAAACCTGCTTCGCGTTTCGCGCGCGAGGCGCGTAATTGACTTCGCGTTCTTCTACAGGCGGCATCGCTGCTACTCCTACTCCAGAGTAGTTGAAAACAATGTGCAACCAATCAAGGTTAACATGTTTCGCCGTTGCGGGCCTGCATCAAGACAGGAATCAGGATGCTAAGCCGGCCCTGGGGAGAAAGTTGAGGCCGTATTGAACCACAAGCAATCGATCGGAGGTCTGCAGGATGGAAGCCACCCAAATTTGAGCAGGGACCGACCGTCCCGCCATTCCTATAGGCCTGCCACAGCATGTTCTTAGAACCCCATCATGTTCTGATACCAAAAACCTTGTTCTTAGAACATAAACCCCATGTGTCAGAACAGGACGGTCTCAGCCAGACGTGTTCTAAGAACATTTCGTGCAAACCACAAAAGATTGTTTGAACATTCTTTGGTGGACCTACAGGCAAGCCTGGACGCTTCGCCACTGCTTTACAAATGGGACCAGAGCAGACTGGATCAGATGACCGAACCGAGCCGCATCGCCGATGCACCCGCGATGCGGCGCCATGCCCCCTGACCCCCACCTGCTCTGGACACCCGCTCTGGACTGGAACGCTGCGCCGATCGCAACCGTCGGCGCCCGCTTTGGCAAAGCAGGCGCAGACAGCGAGGTCGTCGGACACTGAGACGACCGATACGCGCCACAGAATCCGGTCGGCCGATCTTTTAAGATCGTGCCCGGCTATGCTCAAAAATTACATGTTCTACTGATCGTTGTCCCTTGAATTGCGCAAGGAGCCCACAAAGGACGGATGCGTCCAACCACGTACAGGAGCACGGCCCCGCAGTCCGCGAGACCAGCGTCGTGATACGAGCGTTCGCGAAATGTGTACTTCCGAAACCAAGGTGGATTCAACTACGTGCACTTTCTTGTGTCGCTCCTGATCTGCGTCCGTCGGCGCGCGGCGGCAGCCGCCAGGGGCTGGCCATCCGTCGGAGGCGGCGCCCGATAGATCGGCGAGAGGCTCCGGGTGGCGAATCCGCATGTTCCTGGGCAGGGCTGGGCCATTTAGGCCCTCATCGGCGATCCATGGGTGGTCGGGGGTCGACGCGACCCCTGATCCTATCCCTGTCGTCGCCCTTGAGATCTGCGCCCGTACGCGCGGAGGCGGCCGTCGGGGCCGCAACGGCGGCCGGCCATCCGTCGGCAGGGGACGCCCTGGCGACAGTGGCGCGGTCCCTCACATCCGGCGTTTCAAAAAAAAAACACGACATCGCAAAAAGTCGCTCCCCGAGCCCGATCTTCCTGCGTAATTTTTCGAGCTAGATCTATCTGTGAGGGTCCTGGGACCCGCTTTCGGGTAAAAACGCCCGCTCTGACAAAATGCGACGCCAAGATCTGAGGGGCGGCGGCGGCGGCCGGGGCCGGCGGCAGGCGACCTCCTCGCGGCAGCGGCGCGGCAGCGGCGGCCGGCGTCCGGGGCGCAAGGGCCTGGTGGGCGGGCTGTCGGCGGCCTCGGCCTCGAGCACGGCGGGACGGCCGGAGGCCTGACAGGCCGCGAGCGAGGCGGCCGAGGGGTACCGCCCGCCGCCGCCGCGCCGCCGCGGCTGCCGCTGCTCGGGCCGCTGCCGTGGTGGCTGGCGCCCCGGACCCTCTCGAGCCATGAGAAAGTCACGGCGGGAGGCGTGTTGCTCCATGTTCGGCCTCCAGGCCCTTGCCGGGCCTCAAGGCCGTCAACAAAAGCGACTCGGGAGGAAAAGAACGGTCCCGGGAAATGGGTCGAGACCTCCGGGGGTCGACGTTACGAACAGATCATGACGTCGGGGGTCTGCGGCTGCTGATTCGGGGACGCACCCTCTCTCGCGCAATGCCCCCGCCCTTCTCCTCTACGCGCCTTCGCTCTCGTCCTGCCACGCCCCCCCCCCCCACACTTTCGCGTTCACCTGTACTTCCAGCACCGCACCCCCCACGCCACCGCACGCCCCACCCTTTCACGCACTCATCACCACGCCGCCGCGGCTGCCGCTGCTCGGGCGGCCACCGTGCTGGCTGGTGCTGCTGATGCTTCGGGGACGCATCGTCGCCCGGGTCAACACAGGCCCAGGTCGGCCAGGGGGCCCTGTCGCGAAACCTGGCCGACCACTTGGTAGCTCCCAAGCTCGGGCCAGCGGAGGGCGGGAAAGGGGGATCGACCCCACGTGGCTCCCAGACCCGGGTCGGCCAGATGGGGGTTGGCGGCCACCCGCTGGCGCTGACCCCCATGAGCGCCGAGCCCCGAGTGCGGCGGGCGCCCGCAGTGCTGGTGCCGCCGTCACTGTCAATGTTGGCAGCACCGTCACTGTAGGCTGTCCTTGGCGGCGGCGCCACCAGTGAGGTCGGAAAAGGGATGTGGTGTAAATCGGCGGCGCGCCCTGGGAGGAAATTAGAAGGAGCAGGCCTTCTCAGAAGGCGGCGGGGCTTCTCAGAAGCCCTCGCACCTTCTGGGAAATTCTCTGTGACTTCGGGGAAAGCTCAGAACCCTGATCAGCAGGCCCGAGGCATCCCCAGCCCTCTGAGAAGGCCCGCCCCTTCTCGCTTCCCCCCCAAACTTGCCGCCAAGTAGGTACGCTGGAATGGGCGCTGCTACCTACGATGACCGTAAACATGTGCAGCACTGACTTCCCCAGACCACCGCCGTCCAACCTTGACTGCGACTCAACATATCTATTGCAGAACTTCCGAGACATGTAACAGTACATTCCGATAGCGAAGAACATCCGCTGGCCCCCTTGTGGGGCCACCAAGCTGTAGGACCAAGTTGCTGCTCCGTGCGCCAGCTGAATTTTCAAGTCTGCAGTGGTACAGTCCTGCTTTCTGCTTCCTACTGTCAACTGTTGAAGTCCGCGCGAGGGGGGGAGCACGACACTTGCTGATTACCACCCCCGAATCGTGCTCTGAATTTCCGGGGGGGCGTGGGACACGTAAAAATACATGAGACTCGCGCCCCCGCAGCCACAATCTTTAGCAAATTACGCAATGTTCGCGTCCCCGAGGCCACAAACCCTTGTACAGTGCACAATTCTTGCATCCCCGAGGCAACACACCTTTGTGAATTAGGCAAACGTCGCGTCCCCGAAGCCGTACATTACATCAGATTCGCGTCCCCGAGGCCATACATCCTCGCCACTCTGAGAGGGCCTCCAGGGCCCGAAAAGGCCAAAATCATTAATTTCCCATGAGTTTTTGAAGGAGTGTGGCATTTGCTTTTTTTCTGCCTTCCGACGGCCCGAGACGGCCCAAATGCCCCCAAAGATCGCCCAAGAGGCCCAAGACGGGCCCGAGAGGCCCCCAAGACGGCCCAAGAGGCCTCAAAGACGCTCAAGATGGCCTCCAAGACGGCCCAAGAGCCCTCCAAGACGTCCTCCAAGAAGGCCCGAACGGGTCAAAATGGCCTCCAGACGGCCAAGATGACCTTCAAGATGCCCACGTGTTCCCCGAAGGCTTTCCAAACCGATTCGGGGAACACATGGTCCGATAGCTTGGCAGGTCTGGCCTCAACGTTCGGCCACATAGGCGCTTTCAAAAACGCAGGGGGCGGCGGTGATTCGCCGTAGGCGTCTTCGATCCGCCGCCCCCTGTCGATTCATCGCAGGGGTGCCTGACGTGCTGAATCCTCTCGGTTTTGGTTTTGGTTCTTTTTCGAAAAAAGACTCCCCCTGGGGCTTCGGCCCGTCCCGCCGGGGTCCCGAAGGCCCGCAATTTTCGAATGTGTTCGCTCAAGATGGCCCAAGATGGTCTCCAAGATGGCCACGTTGGCCCAAGACGGGCTCCAAGATGGTCCAAGATGGCCTCCAAGTCCGCCCAAGATGGTCCAAGACGGCCTCCCATACGGCCCAAGAGTCCAAGACTGCCGAAGACGGCCCAAGAGGCCCCCCAGAGGCCTCCAAGACGGCCCGAGAGGCCTCCGAGAGGGCCTCCAGGAAGGCCCGAAAAGGCCCAAATCATTGATCTCCCATGAGTTTTTGAAGGAATGTGGCATTTGTTTTTTTTGCTCGGCCTTCCGACGGCCCGAGACGGCCCAAGTGCCCCCGAAGATCGCCCAAGAGGCCCAAGACGCGCCCAAGATGCCCCCAAGACGGCCCAAGAGGCCTCCCAGACGCTCAAGATGGCCTCCAAGACGGCCCAAGAGCCCTCCAAGACGTCCTCCAAGAAGGCCCGAACGGGTCAAAATGGCCTCCAGACGGCCAAGATGACCTTCAAGATGCCCACGTGTTCCCCGACGGCTTTCCAAACCGATTCGGGGAACACATGGTCCGATAGCTTGGCAGGTCTGGCCTCAACGTTCGGCCACATAGGCGCTTCCAAAAACGCAGGGGGCGGCGGTGATTCGCCGTAGGCGTCTTCGATCCGCCGCCCCCTGTCGATTCATCGCAATGGTGCCTGGCGTGTTTTGGTTTGAAAAGAACTCCCCCTGGGGCTTCGGCCCGTCCCGCCGGGTCCCGAAGGCCCGCAATTTTCGGATTTGTTCGCTCAAGATGGCTCAAGATGGTCTCCAAGATGGCCACGTTGGCCCAAGATGGGCTCCAAGATGGTCCAAGATTGCCTCCAAGTCCGCCCAAGATGGTCCAAGACGGCCTCCCATACGGCCCAAGAGAGTCCAAGACTGCCGAAGACGGCCCAAGAGGCCCCCCAGAGGCCCCCAAGAGGCCTCCAAGAGGGCCGCCAGGAAGGCCCGAAAAAGCCAAAATTATTAATTTTCCATGAGTTGTTGAAGGAGTGTGGCATTTGCTTTTTTTCGGCCGTCCGACGGCCCGAGACGACCCAAGTGCCCCCAAAGATCGCCCAAGAGGCCCAAAGAGGCCCAAGACGGGCCCAAGAGGCCCCCAAGACGGCCCAAGAGGCCTCCCAGACGCTCAAGATGGCCTCCAAGACGGCCCAAGAGCCCTCCAAGACGTCCTCCAAGAAGGCCCGAAAAGGGTCAAAATGGCCTGCAGACGGCCAAGATGACCTTCAAGATGCCCACGTGTTCCCCGAAGGCTTTCCAAACCGATTCGGGGAACACATGGTCCGATAGCTTGGCAGGTCTGGCCTCAACGTTCGGCCACATAGGCGTTTCCACAAAGGCAGGGGGCGGCGGTGATTCGCCGTAGGCGTCTTCAATCCGCCGCCCCCTGTTGAGTTGCCACAGGGGTGCCTGGCGTGCTGAATCCTCTCGGTTTTGGTTCTTGTAGAAATTTCCCCTGGGGCTTCGGCCCAACGCGCCGGCCACACGGAAGGCGCGCAAACGACCTCAACGTCGGGAATGAAACCTCCAAGACGGCTCAAGATGGCCTCGAAGAGGGTCCAGATGGCCCAAGATGGCCTCCAAGTTCGCCCAAGATGGTCCAAGATGGCCTCCAAAACGGCCCAGGAGGGTCCAAGATGGCCCAAGACGGCCCCAGTGGCCTTCGAGAGGCTTTCAAGACGGCCCACGAGGCCTCCAAGAGGAGTTCCAGGAAGGCCCGAAGAAGCCAAATCATTAACGTTCCCTAGGTTTGTTGCAGGATTCTGGCTTTTCCTTCGTTTTGGTACTCCAACCGCCCAAGACGCCTCAAGGAGTCCCCAAAATCGTCCCAGAGGTCTCCAAGATGGCTCCAGAACGGCCCAAGAGGCCTCAAGCAAGCCCCGAGAGGGCCCCAAGACGGTCGAAGAGGCCTCCATGACGCCCAAGATGGCCTCCAAGATGCTTCTAAGACGGCCAAGATGACCTCCAAGACGGCTAAGATGGCCGCTCAGACGACCAAGATGGCACAAGATGGGCCCGAGAGGCTTCCAAGATGGCCCCAGAGGCTTCCAAGAGGTCCTCCAGAAAAGCTTGAAGAGGCCAAACTTATTGATTGTCCTGAGGTTTATTGCAGGATTTTGGCTGTTCCTCCGTTTTGGTGTTCCGACCGCCCAAGACGGCCCAAGGGGTCCCCAAATCGTCCCAGAGGCCTCCAAGATGGCTCCAGAACAAGCCAAGAGGCCCCGAAGCCAGCTCCAAGAGGGCCCCAAGACGACCGAAGAGCCTTCCAAGACGCCCAAGACGGCCTCCAGGAAGCATCCAAGACGGCCAAAACGACATCCAAAACTGCCAAGATGGCCAAAGGTGGCCCAAGAGGCCCGCAAGATCGCCCAAAGATCGCTCAAGAGGCCTCCAAGTTGACCCCATGACGGCCCAAGAGGCCCCAAGACGGCCCTATGAGGGCCCCAAGACGGCCCAAGAGGCCTCAAAGACGCCCCAGATGGCCTCCAAGACGGCCCTAAAGCGCCCCAAGACGCCCCCAAGTCGGTTCAGAGAGGCCCCCCAAGACGGCTTCAGACGGCGTCAGACGGGCCAGGAACACCCGAAGATGGCCAGAGAGGTCTTCAAGACTCCCCCGAAAACGCCCAAGAGGCCCCCCGGAAGCTCCCAGGAGGCCCCAACAGTGCCCCAAGAGGCTTCCAAGAGGCCTCCGCCTCCTATTCCGTGTTCCTCCCTCTCCTCCACTTCCTCTTTATCTCCCCACGTGTTCCACGAAGGCTTTCCAAACCGACTCGGGGAACACATGGTCCGATAGCTTGGCCAAGCTCTAGCCCAAATTTCGGCCACATAGGCGTTTCCAGAAAGGCAGGGGGCGGCGGTCATTCGCCGCATGCGTCTTCGATAACGCCAACGTCTCAATATGCGCTGATGATTCCTGTCCGCCCCCACATGATGTTCCCAGGTGCGCAAAGGCAGCGACGAGAAGCACCGACGCGACTCTGATCAATCCCATGGTGATAGAGAGGAGGCTGTCGGCAGGGTGCGAAGACCTTACGGATAACAATATAATTTCCTGATCGGCTGATCGCAGAAACAGCAACAATTTGGAAGCACGATTGTTTCAAGGCAAACCAGAACACCCGAAATCCCAAACAAACGATCCGAACATGCTAGAACCCATCCACATCACATTCGCAGGGCTGGTTTCGTATAGCGAAAGCACCAAAGGCGAATGTTGCGAGTGTTAGCGCGATGTGTAATGCAGAAGGCGAGACGTATCGATTGTGGTATCGTCATACAGCGTGATCGTACCGTACCCCGTACTCATGAATGGCAGGCTCGTGTCGTGACGACGCCTGCGATGGTTTCTGGCACAGCGTAGATCGTTAAACCTTGGAGCGATCGGCGGCTTTTTCGATCGCCAGATCATTCTACATTGGCCGATTCTGGGCCACTAGCGGCGTTCAATTCTGAACGACACGAGCCTATACCTTGGGGACATCTTGGGCCGTTTTGGAGACATCTTGGGCCGTCTTGGGGCTTCTTGGTGGCCACTTGGAGCGATCTTGGAGGCCTTTTGAACCGTCTTGAGTGCCGGGACCCCTGGAAAAACGAGAACGCTAAAATCAATCAAAACACATAGGATAGTCAATGGTTTTGGCACATCAGGGTCCTCTTAGGGGGGGCTCTTGGGGGGGCTCTTGGGGCTCTATTCAATAGAGCCCTGAGGGCCCTCCCAAGAGGTATCCTTCGGCATCTTGGGAACGGACTAGCCCCTTGAGGCGAGGAATAGAGCCTCTAGCACCAGAGGCGAGTCTATTGGGCATCTTGGGGACCTCTTGGAGCGCTCTTGGGCCGACCCGGGGCCCTTTTCAGAGGCCTCCCACATGGGGTCCGAGCAGGCAGGGTCGGAAGATCTCGTCCATTCGCCGATGCATCACTGATGCACCGTCGATGCGTCGACGACCTCGGCGATGCATCAGCGACGCCGACGTGAAGAACATCGGGCCCCACATCCAACCGCATCGTCGACGATGCGGCGCGATCCTCCGACCCTATCTCCTCCAACCCCACCTGGGAGGCCCAGTCTCCTGGACGCACTCTCTTGTTACAACCATGATCGCAAAGCGCAGCAACAAGATGCGAACTGGATCAAACGATAAGACTTACATAAGTGTGCATCTACGTACTGTCCTGCAGCCAGCTCTCCTGTCAAGCTGTGCGTCAGAGCTCAGACGAAACCTGTGCGATGCACTAGCCAGGCGGCCAATAAAGCGTCTCCCAAACGTAAACCACACCCGTCCCCGATCTTCTGCTCAGGGGGTTTTGCTAAAGGTGCCTCTGGCCCAAGGTGACCCCATTTTGGAGTCCCTCGGGCCCCCCTGGGCCTCGTGGGGGGTGCTCTGGAGGCAGTGGGGGCCTCCTTGGAAATCCTTGGGGCACCATGGGCCAGGGGCACATCTGGCAACATCCGACCTGCGCCGCAGCTGCCGCCGCCGAGACCGCCCCCCGCCGGCGCGGTGGCGGGCGCCTCCACGGGGGCGGCGCTGTCCGCGCGCGGCGGCGGGCTCGCCTCCACCGGGGGGCGCGGCGGACGCGCGCTCGCACGGGCGCCAGGGCGCCGCCGCGGCGAGGTCGGAGCGGCGGCGCCTGCGCTGGGCATTGAAGTGGCAAACGAACCTACCTCGCTTTTGACCACCCTCGATTCCAAACGGGGGCCAAACGACACCAAACTACCTGCGGGGTGCCTCGCAATGGTCAGGCTTCTTCACGAGGAGGCGCGTGGTATGACTTGGTTCTGCCTGGAAGCGAAGACGGGGTAGGTATTTCACCATGTGAGCATTCGAACCTCGCCGGGGAGGCGTTGATCCCCAGGACCCCAAGCGAGCGGGGGAAAAGAAACGGTCTGACGCGGGGGGGGCATTGCGACCTTACGCCGCGGATTGTGCAGGCCGCCGGCGCGCACATCGGGTGGAGACGAGGGCGCTGACGCGCGACCTGACGCGGGCAGCTTGCGCGCGAATGTCGGGGCAGTCGACCCAGTTGTCTTCCGTCGCTCAGATGGCAGCCAAGAGCCCCATGTGCAAACACACGAATGCTGAAAGGAGTACGTATCCCGTCTGCAACAGGTGGCAAGATCCCCGGGCCCAGCCCCGAACGATGAGCATGACAAGCAGCAGGAAATCCCCTGCAACATCTACGTAGGAAGCCATGGCGTTGCACGCCCGCTGGGGTCCGTTCGAGGCAACCCCAGAGGAAAGGAGGTGAACGGGCAAACGAAGAAAGAATGACGACAACGACGCAGGGGAACACGGAAGATAAGAAACGCAACTCGTACAACCGCCCCACGGAACCAGGGAGGGTGAGGCCCCGCCTGGATGTGCGTGGCAACGCACTCCGTTGGACCCCCAGGGACGCAGCCAACTTGCGACACTCGCACTCCTGGCGGCGCCCATGGAGGGCGAAAGGTTCCGCTTTGGGTATGAATCCCCCCGCAGGAAACAAGACAGTATCGACGGTCTTGCACCTCCAAGTGAGCGCGAGATCTCGCTTAGGTCTGCGTGTGACGCCAGCCCGCTGACTCCCGAGGGGCGCAGCGACGCGGCGACGGTTGCGTGGCTGGCAGCAGCGAGGGGGGGGCGAGGTGGTTAGGCCCACCTGTCCGCTGGACCACGCAGGGGCGCAACGAGCTGGCGACAACTGCTCGTCTGGCAGCAACCAGCGGGGGCGAGGTCCCGCCTGGGCCTGAGCGTAACGCCGCTGGATCGGACCCCAACCCAGGGAGGCAGCAGTGCGGGCCTGGCAGCACGCAGCGGCAGAGGCGAGGTCGTGCGTGGGTCTGTGCATGACGCCACCCCGCTGGACCCCGGAGGGTCGCAGCAGAAATACTACAGTTGTGCGCCTGGCAGCACCAACCGGGTGCGAGGTCCACTTCGGGGTATGACGCCACTTTGAAGGGACCCCTGAGGGGCGCAGCGAAATGGCAGCGGATCCACGCCTAAAACCAAACAGGTTGGGCGAGGTCCAGCTTGGGTCTGCGTATGGCGTCAGGCGGCTGGAGCCTCCATCGGCGCAGCAAAGCATCGACAATTGCGAGCCTGGGAACTCCCAGCGGAGGCGAGGTCCAATTTGGGTCTGCGTCTGACTCCACCTCACTCCGCTGGACCCCCCCCCCCCAGGGACTCAGCGAAGTGGCGGCACTGCGCCTGGAAATACAAAGGAATGGCGAGGTCCCGTTCAGGTCTGCGTGCGACGCCGCCCCGCTGGACCCCTGAGAGTCGCAACAACGAAATGGCGCGATGTGCGCGCCTAGCGGCACACAGGGAGGGCGAGGTCCCGTTCGGATCTGAGTATGACGCCACCCCGCTGGTTCCTTCAGGGGCGGAGCGAAGTGGCTAATCGCACTTACGCGACTGGCAGCACCCTGGAACTAGATGAGGAGTGATGGGGCGGGACAAGGAGAAAAGAAGCAGCACTGCTCTACTCAAAACGGGGACCCACTAACCACGGGAGTGTTGGGAAACAGAAACGCGCTCATAATGCTTCTTGTCGCGACGGCGGAGCTCCGCTTTCCTGGAACACGACCATCGGTCCTCTCCTTGGGTGTCCCGACGGCCAGAATCTACGAGGCGGATCCAGCCGTGGCGACGAAGGGGCACCAAGAACCCCAACCAACAAATCATAGAAACCCTGGCCCTCGATCCTAGACCTGGGGCTTTCCCTGGGGCAGGCTGCTCATCACAACGGGTTGTTTCACGGTTCTTTGGGCCAGGGAGGACCCCGTGACCCTGAAACCAGCGAACAACATCCAGGACACCTTTCTGGCAAGACCCCTTTCCTTCATGCTGATCCTGGGGAACGCTCTGATCCCCCACAGGAGGGCGCCTCGCAGTCGGACGCGCCGGCGAAGACGACCGCCAGCGAACGCGACCGGCGACGACAACTGCCAGCGAAGACGACCGCTGGTGAAGACGATCCCCAAAGCGACCGCTGGCGAAAACGACTCGCGCCTCCTGGAGTGCGGTCCGGTCCTCGAACCTCGATTCTGGACCCTCGAGAGGAGAGCGCCTCCTCTTGTCCTACCCGTGACACACAAGGCTTGCCCTCGGCCGCGATGACCTTGCGTGCGTGGCTCTAGAGGGGGGGGGGAGCGGGCAAACCCAAGCGCGCAAGCCACTGCTATTGCATTGCATTCAGAGATAGGGGGACCTCAGCGGGCACGTGCCACAAGCCACTTTGGCGAAGCGTCACTCTTACATGCAGTCGACTCTGGCGGACATGGCGAAGACAATCGCGGGTGAAGGAGCGAGGACGATAGGCGGGCGAAGACGACCGCGGGCGAAGACGACCTTCCGCGTCCTCGATCCTCGGGCCTACGCCCTGCCCCCGCCCCCCACCCCCCGTACGAGGGCGCCTCTCGTGCCAAACGCGTCCTTAAAAAAAGAAACTCACGGAAGACTTGGGTTGCCCCCATGGCGCCCACTAGCGCGCCGAATCTCTTCTCAAAGGGGACACACTGCATCTCCATCATATGGCGCTCTTGGACGCTATTGGGCGCCAGTTGGGCGCTGTTTGAGTGCTACTCGGCGCTGCTGGGCGCCCCTGGGCGCTACACATTCAATTCAAGACTAGCGAAAGCTTCCATGACTTACTATCGAGCCGAGCACCGCGGCTCCCCTCGTGACCGACACGCCCCGCTGTGCCGCCGCTGCCGCCGCCGCAACGCCCCACTACCGCCGCCGCGGCAAAGCGCCACCGCCGCGGCCGTAACCGCCGCTGCCGCGTGCCGCTGCTGCGCGCCGCTTGTCGCCGGCCGGTCGCCGCCGCCATCGCTGCCGTCCACCTTGCAAGACAGGGTCTCTCAAGCTGTTGCATTTTCGTCGCTACGTCGGATCTCAGGGGTGATCTCCTCCCGTCGTAGAAAAAAGCATATTTGCACGGACAGCGGTGCGAAGCGCAGTGGTTATCGAGGATGGCTGGGTGGATGATGAGAAGGGAGTCGTCGCCGCCCCCTCCCAAAGATCCGACGTCGTGATGTTGTTCACGGCATGCATTCCCCGCAAGTCTGGACCCCTTCCCGGGGACGGCTCTTCACGCCGAGCTTGTTTGCTGACGGCACCCAGAGCCCGGCGGAAGCCCCCGCAGAAGCTGAAAACTGTCAAACTCAAAAAAAAACCGCCGCCGCGCTTGTTTTCACGACGCGAGGAGGTCACGGAAAGTGTAGGGGAACGAAAAACGGCATTAACATGACTTCTTTGAACTCCTCTCGGGCGCTGGACACCTCCACCCTGGTGCGCGGAGCGCGATAAGAGCGGCGCCAGAAGCGCCGCCAGGGCCCGAAGCCGATCCGAGAAATCCGCATGGATTATGTCGTCGTTGGTCCTCCGAAGATCCAAGAAATCCGCGCGGAGCTCAGAGAAATTACGTTTATGCAAGAGTTCCTCATTTGTGTGAGGGCGCGTCCTAGTCGGACACGCCCCGGGGCCTGACGAAAACACCCAGGGGCTGCAAACCGTCGAAATCAGCCGTCGCGTTTTTGCTCACGGCGCGGGGAGGTCACGTCAAGTGCAGAGGAGCCAAAACACTGCGTAAACGTGCTTTCTCGGCGGTGCGCGCAACTGCGTAGCTGTTCGCGGGGACTATTTGGAGCGGCACCAGACCTCCCTCCCTGGCGCGAAGAGTGCGCCGGGGGCAACGTCAGGGGCGCCGCCAGGGGGCCCCAGCGCCGATCCATCAGTCCGCGCGGACCTCCCATCAATTATGGTCATGCAAATGGCTAATACAGTCGGGATTGATTAGAGAAGACACGCGAGAGGACACAAGACCCTTCCTGGGGCCACATTGCCATAGGAATGTAAGAAGGCATGGGTCGCGAAGCTCAGGACACAACGGGACCCTTGATTTGGCAGGGTCGACCTACTGATCAATCTCGACTGTATTCGATTATTGGCGAGATCCTCCCCGAAGACCTGGGCCCCCCATCTGTCTGCTGCATGTTTCGATCTAGTCTCGACATGTGGAGATCCTGGCGCTGAAACCGGGCGAAAACGGCACCAGGACGGCAGGTGGGAGGACGCATCCCAGTCGCAGGTGGTAGGACAAGAAAATGTCACTATAGGATTGGCTCAGGGTACACTCCAAGACTTCTTGAGCATCTAGCGGCCCTCCGGTCTGCAGCCCGCGTAGAGCATCAGGAAATTTTGAGAATTGGACAGGTCCTGGAACGTGTGAGGGGGCGCCTCTACTCACACGGATCGTGCCCACATGGGGGAACCCCACCGTAGGTCTCAGCGGACGCCGCCGAGCTCGTGTCCCCATGGGGAGTTCCGTCTGCGGTCCGAGTAGGCGCCGACGTATGTAGCCACCCCGCCCACTTTGGAACATCCCTCACATTCTCCGAGAGGTCATGGCAGGTGGGTCGGGTTGGCGTAGAGCTGGGGTAGGGGTAGAGGGGGGGTTGGGAGGGAAATTGCTCTAAACAGCTCCTGGAAAAAGGCAATGACCCCACCTTGACCTGACCCCACCTTGAGATAATCCTCCGTGTGCAACCCCCCCGAATGGGAAGGCGCCTCCCAGTCGGACACGTCCGACTGCTTCCCGGGGCTGCCCGCGCACGCCGCCGCGCGCACTGCGCCCGGGCTGGCGGCGCTGCCGGCCGCGCGCGCCAGGCTGCTGTCGCGCAGCCGCCGCACCTGCCAGCGGGGCGGTGTCGCCGTCGCCGTCGCCGCCGCCGCCGCCGCCGCCGCCGTCGTCGTCGTCGTCGTCGTCGTCGTCGTCGTCGTCGTCGTCGTCGTCGTCGTCGTCGTCGTCGTCGTCGTCGTCGTCGTCGTCGTCGTGTCGTCGTAATCGTCTCCGTCGTCGTCGTCGTCGTTTTCGTCGTCGTTTCCGTCGTCGTCGTCGTCACTGTCGCTCTCGTCGCCGCCGTCGTAGTGTCGTCACCGCGGCCGTCGCCGCTGCAGTCGTCGCTGTCGTCGAAGAACATCAATGACGTCGTCGTCGTCGTGCACGTCGTCGCCAACGTCGTCGCCCTCGCCGGCGTAAACGTCGTCATCGTCGTGCTCAACATCACCGTCGTCGCCGTCTTCATCGTCGTCGTCGTGCTGATCGTCATCGTCGTCGTTGTCGTGCTCAACGACGTCGCACTCGTCGTCGTTGTGCTCGTCATAAATCGTAGTCCTCCTCGTCGCCGCCATCCGCTTCCAATGAAAAAGGGCGGTGCGACACACGGCTAGGCGGGCGTGCCACGTGGAAGTTTCAGGGGGCCCCGGCAACTCAACATCGAATCGGGAATTCGGATTGGATCGGGGCGTGGATTGGATCGGCCTGCGTCGGCACGCATTCGAAATCGACTCGAATCGGCCGCGCCAAGAGACACAACAACGCCATGCAATCGTCGGACCGCATCGGTCGTCGGAAACATCGTGATCGAGTCGGATCTGGCTTGTCGCCATCGACACCGGATCGGATCGAACACATCGAAAGTGACCATGGTATGCTTCTGTGGGGGGATCCAAGGTTCACGGAAATGTCTTAGTTTTCAGCAGGATAACGCATTTCTGGCGCTCTACGTACGGGTGCTGGAAATGTTTTAAGAAGCGCTACAGGGCTCTGCGGGACTCTAGAGCGTAAGTGGACCTCCAGGAAATTCTAACAGGTGCAATACGTCGTCCACATGTTCTTCAATCATGTCGGGGCGTCGTGGCCAAACCTATCCATTCGTGTTATTGCTAGGTTTCGGGCCTCGGGGCCATCACGGACCGATGCGACTCGCATGAAGCTGCCTGTCGGGTAAGCACGCAGGATCATCGACGCATCTGGAGCTCTACAAGGTTCCTGACGGTTCCAGGGCGTCCTGGGGATTCCAAAAATTTCCAGAAGGTGATGGGGGTGTCTTGAGTTTTCTGCCGAATTCTGACAGATACTCGAGGGGTTCTGCAAGAGTCATGAGCAGGGGCAGGCTTCTGGGAGTTCCGAGAAGTTCTGGGAGCGCTTCTGAAGGAATAGCGAATCTGGGTGTGAACGACTCTTGGCATGAGTGAGCCTGAGTATCGCTGGTAAAGTATGAGTGTGAGTTGTTGCATGCGACCGAGCAGTATTGCATTGATTTCGTATTGTGAAATGGAAAGGCGCGCGGCGCTAGACAGTTGTTTCTCTCTCGCGCGGCTAGGCGACGTGTGGCACTTAGGCAAAAGGCCCTAAACATTGTTGGGCCGAAGCGGGCAACGAGAGACAGGGTGAGAGCAGCAACGATGAGAGCAGGGAGCGAGGCGGATTCTCGGCGGACGGACGATCGACATGCTATCGAATCGACCGAACCCCCACTCCTCCTGTTTGGCGCCTTAGGCATTCGGGGCAGCGAACGCTGCAATTTGTCGCAACTTCATTACCTCGGATCGAATTATCTTGACAGTTCAGCATCATCGCAAGTGCCGGGCATGGCGCGCCCCGAAGGAGAGGGGCAAACAAAAGGCCCGGCACGGCTTGCACCAAGGGGCCTCGGGTCATTACTGGGTGGGCTGCAAAAACTGCGCGCTGAATGCGACACTTCCGGCTAGCATGCGGAAGCGAAGAAGAAGCAGTGCGGACTTTCAAGAGATCGCGCCCGCAACGACCGAGCCAAGGGGGGGTGGCCTGGCTTCCGCTACCCCCCACCCCCTCCCTTTAGGCCCTCTCGTTGAAAGCCCCCCCCCCCCCTCTGCAAGGAACTTCTTGTGGGCGCCGAACTCTGCCCACTCAGACCGCTCGGTCTTCGCGGCGATGCCCGCGTTCTCCTTCTCTTCGGCGCCGAGGCTGTCGCAGTTCAGCACCTTCGCAGTCGCGCGTTGCCCGCGAGCATGGCCCCGCAGGAGACGGATGGACGAGGCGACCTCGTCCCGGTGTGTCTGGAAGCGACTGTCCAGGAAGAGGTCGACCTTGAAGGTGTCCATCGGCTTCTTGAAGCAGTTGGGCAAGTCGTCCGAGAGCACCTTGCTCTCGTTGGCTCGCTTCGCGCGGGTCGAACGAAATCTCCCCGGCTTTCTCGTTGGGGCGCATGCGGGGCATTCTCACAGCGCAGCTGGCGCTGGGGACCCGCGCTAGTTCTCGGTGCCCAGTGGTCGCCGAGCCACCGCTTCTTGCCGGGCTCGCTCATCCGCAATCTCGGCCCACTCCTGGGCCATAACCGATCTCGAGCTGTCAGACGTGTCGTCGTTCTGGTTGTCGTCGACGGTTCTGGTTGTCGTCGACGGCGGCAGGGTCGGCGGCCGCGGCGGCAGCGCCCGAGTCGAGTGGGGCGGGCGCTGCAGGCGGCTGTTCCGAAGGCGGCGGGGGCGGCGGCCGCTGCGCCGCGTCTGCTCCCGAGGGCGCTGGTTGCGGCCCGCCGCTGCCGCCGGCGCCTCCGCGCCCTGCTTGCGTCTCAGCCATTCAGCGGAGGCGCGTGCTTCCCGGCCCGCGGCTGCGGCCTCGACGCTGCCACAAGTGAATAATGCGCGGGCAGGGCTCGTTGTTGAATCGGCGCTGGCAGGGCGCGTTGTTGAGGCGGTGCTGGTAATTGAGGCGGCTGGGGCGCGTCGTCGGCGCGGGGCCGCTTCTGCGGAGCGTCGCCCGTAAGGTCGAGGAAAGTATCCTCGCCTGTGTCAGGGGGCGCCAGTCCACCTCCTCGTCCGCCTCCTCCCCCCCCAGAACCTGAAGGTGGTGGTTGCCCTTCTGGCGGGCCGCCGGGAGGTGGGCCCCCGGCGGCCCTGGCGGCCGCTTGCTATTCAGGGCGTTCAGCACTTGTCCCCGTGGCGAGCTCTGAAACCGCGACGCGGCGCAGGCGTCCGCGGTTGACCTTCGCGGTGGCGGGGCGGTGGCGGACCTGGATATTGGCGGCGCCCTCGAAACCGATAATAACGCCAGGTCCGTGCCACTGCAATGCTCACTTGCGCTCGGGCTTGCCGTTGCCTCTCCAGTAGTGCACCTGGTCGCCCCTCCTGCAAACGTCATCGGCGCGCCGCGCCGCGCCTGCCTGGGCGCGGGCCAGCAAAGCCCTGGGATGAAATAGATGGAAACGAAACTGCTGGATGGACGTCTGGGCGGCCTTCGCGCTGGCAGCTCTCTCGGAGAGCGACGCGTCGGACGCGATGCGTTCGCGCAAAGAAGAGTCTGCCGCACTGCCCGTCGACCCGGCTATTCTTGGCCCAGCGCGCCGATGCGAGCAGGGGCTGAACGCGATGAGCTGTCGCGGGCTGGTCGAATCTGATGCTGGACTGGCCAATCGGCTTCCTGGCGCGAATCTCCAACAAGTCTCCGCGTCGCTCCACGGTGGCGTTCTGCTGCGGCCTGGCAGCGGCGGTCGCCATCGGGCGGCGGCCCGCGTCCTCGAGCTCCCTGAAGAACTCTCGCTCGAACTCGCCCCCCCCATCGGAAATGGCGCGTTGAGGCGCGCCTAAACATTCAATCCAGATATGCGGCAGTCGGGCGCAGGCAACCGAAGGGCAACTCCAAGGAACGGTGCCGCGCATCATAATACCTGAGGCCAAGTCGACCACGTTGAGGAAGATCCGCCGGTGGCCGGCGTAGTCGTCGAGGGCGAAGATCCACCCCGATGGAATCGTTGAAGTCGTGGCCCAGCTTGGTCCCCAAATAGGCGGGGTAGTGGTCGCAGATGTGCGGCGCAGACCTCGCAATAGAGGTCGAGGGCTATCTCGACCGCTCTCTGCGATCCGCGTGTGACTCGGATGGCCCGGGCCAGCGAGTCGTTGGACGGGTGCCCCGCGTTCGCGTGGAGCTGCATCACTGCGGATCAGAGCGTTTGCTCCTCCGCAGCTGTCGGCGCGGGCTCCTGAGGAGCTGCCCGCGCTGGCGCCGCCCTCCTCGCCCTCCGGGTTGGATGAGCCTCTCGCGGGGGTCGATTTGGTCGTCGTAACTGGGCGGCCAAGTCCTTCGCGAGCTTTTGCGCGCAAATATCGCTGATCTTGGCGCCCTGACCACTCGCTTCAGCGTGGGTTTGCGACTTGTCCCAGAATCTCCCAAGCACCCCATAGCGGTCGGCAATGGTCCTCCAAGGCTGCTTGATGCGGATCCCCTTCTTCGCCATGAGGTCGAACGCGCGGCAGTCGAAGTCGAATGCTCGCGGTAGCTGCTCCTTCAAATTCCTCGCGGTCGCGTCCCTGTCGGGGCCCGATCCATCGCCGCATCTCGGCCGCTCGAACAGAACGGCGAGCTGCCTGCCGAACTCCGCGCGTAGCTGGGACATCGACTGCAGGAACGGGGGGCCGATCATCTGCTCGGACTAGGCCCTGTCCTGCTGGTGCTTCGGGGTCTTCCCAGGGTCGATCTGGATGACGCGCCGCACGCTTTTGCCGCGAGCGAAGACTGCCCTGATCTTGCTCTCGAGTTTGTTTACCGCGAGCCGTCGTGACACACTGTAGACAGGTAGCCCGCACCTGACGGCTGCTCCTCCCTTCAACTTCCAGGTGGAGCTGGGCCTGCTGTTCGGTTTGCAGCGCCACTCGTAGTGCACTGGGTTGCTCGTGGTGCTGATCGCGCTGGATAGCGTAGTAGACCTCGCCATGTCAGTGACCAAGGCCTGGTTAGTCTGGTGCGACTGCATGCCGCTCTTGTTGAGAACGAAGGCCGTGCGCCTGCCTGCGATGAGCAGTGGCTTCGTCCCCATAGTATCCACGAAGTTGCGTTGACCTCATTCAGGTTGGTTTCCTCGGCGTAGTCGCCCAAGGGCGCCGAGGTGCCGAACGCGCTCCAGGCGTACTCCCACGTGGCTGCAGGCCTCGCGGTGCTTCTCTCCGCAGGAAATGCAATCCTGCAGCGGCTCGGTAACATTCGTCGTGGGGTGGAGTGGCGGCGGCAACGTCGCCAGAGTGAGGGTTGGGATAGGGGCTACCGTAGAGCAGCGCACCGATGATGACGCCACAGCCGACATGAACTTGGATCTCTTAAGACGGCGAGGCTGTCGGCGTCTCGGCGCATTTAGATCCTTCCCATTGAGGAGCTCACCGATGGACTCGGCCAGCGACTCGGCCCTGATGCTATGGCTGGCGGTCGTGGCGCTATCCGTCTTGATTCTTCTTGTCGGTTTAGAAGGGGCATCGGCGCTGGCCCCCTCGACCGCTGGCCAAACCGCAGGCCGCGGACAAATCGCGGGGGCCCGCGCCGCGCGCGACGAGAATCGGGGCGACATTCCCGATGCGGATCTGCCCCTTCCAGAGCGAGACGTCGACCTAGAAGGGGAGGGCGAAGTCTCGCCCTGCGAGGGGGCCCAGCGCGGGGCCGCTCACGACGCTGAACGCGACGCGGCCAGCCCGCCCGCAGAGCACCAGCGGCGCGGTCACGCGCGCTTGCTAAGGAAGGCGCCCCCCCTGCCGAACCCGTAGACCACGTCCTCGGGCTCTTCGAAGATCCGGCCGGCCAGGCCCATCCTGGTAAGTAGATCCTTGTAATTGTTGTACACCTTGAAACCCGAAGCGCAGACATGGCAGGCAGCGCCCACTGCGCCGGTCCCATCGCCCGCAGGCGTCCCACCATTGGCCGACGCGCTGACGTTCGGCAGGTCATGTATCAGCCGCTCGGAGACGCAGGCGTCCGAAGGAGGCGTCGCCGACCCCGGCGGGCGTAGACGCGCCTGTTCGCCCGCGAACTGGACTTGCCCGGCGATGGGCGCCTGTCGCTGTGGTCGGCCACATCGGCCTCCACCGCGACCGTCCTTCTGCTGCTTGCCCTTAGGCGCAAACTTGCGCGCGCAGCGCCCCTTGCGCCTGGCCCTTCGCCCCGTCCCGCCGCAGCCCCGGCGCGTGGACGTCTCGTCGCGCAGATCGACGCGGCTCTGGAGCGTGCCGGGGCGGCGCGCCCCAGTCGGCTCGCCGCCCGACTTGCCTCGGAGTTTCTAGGCGCCCCACCCCTGCCGCTCTATAGAATAGCATTGCCATTTCTGTTCGGGCAAGCTCTCGAGGCGCGCCTGCCCAAGACGCGCGGGCGCGATCGTCGCCGGCCCACCCCGCCACCAGGACGAGCGACAAAAAGTGCAAGTTGATGATGAGGCATTCCGCGCCGCTGTCGTGGACGTGAAAGCGGTCCTGCGACATTGCGCCGCGACCCTGCGGCACCTCTGGAACATGCTCCAGACGCGCTCGGAGTCGGCGCGCCCCCTCGTTTCAATGCGCGCAAGCCGCGTGGCCGCCCCCGCGCGGCCTCGGGAAGGGGCGCCCGCCTTTCCGAGCGCCGCGGCGCTCGCGCGGCCCCCCGACGCGCCCTAAGACGGCCCGCCAGACGCAGGAGCGGGACCCGCCCAAAACCGCCACGTCTGCATAGAAGACAGACATTCCTGGCGAATGCGCCCTGCCTGTTAGAATAAAGGGGATCAATCGGCCAGGTTTTGCGGAGTCCCGTTTTTCGCGCGTTGTCTGTAGCTTGCGCAGAAGCACTCCCTTCTAGACCGCGTTGCGTTCAATTTCTGGGCGCCCTTGAAGCATGCGTCTGGGGCGGCTGTCTAGACGCGTCGGAATTCGACGAGCGCTGCCCCGGCCGACCCGCCGCAGGATGGGCTCTTCGGGCAAAACTGGAGGGCGGCGCGACGCGCTGGACGGAGAAGCCGCGCCATGAACGCCTGGGCTTTGCCATCGATACAACAGGACAAGCAATGCCTCGGCGGCGTCCCGGCCAGCTAGAGCGCACGCCATCGAGGCGCAGTCGTCGGGCGCGCGGGAGACGCCAAACAGACGCCCCCTGCGCCTCCGCACCCCCGCCCACCCATGGCGCAGGCCCGACAGGCAAGCACGCGACTGCGACTGATACCGCGCTCGCGCCCGCCCCCGGATCTTCGATCGATGCGCGACAGGACGGGCGGAACAAACAAATCCTGACAAGGGCCCCCGCTGATAGAGGGGCGCGGGCGGGGGTCCTAAAAACTTTGACGGTCCCTGAGGCTTCCCGAACCGATGCTCCGCCGCGGCGGCCTCGACCTCGGCGGAGTCGCCGCAGTCGAACACCTCGGAGACGCCCGCGTTGGAAGACTCGAGCTCGGCACTGAACGCCTCGAGCTCCTGGCGAACCGCGTCTTGCGCGTCGGCCTTGGCGTCGCCGTCGCCCCGGCCGCGCTGCCCCTCGCCGTCGCCCCCCGGCTCGTCGACGACGTCAGCAGGGCGCCCTCCTCGACGCTTGGAGGGGGGGCGACTTCCAGCCGCCAGCAGGGCGCGACTCTCGGCGCCCGGCTCGCGGCGCTCGGACTTACGGGCGCCCGGGGGCGCCCTCGCCAGCAGGCCTCGGACGCGCTGCAATCCGCAAATCTCGCCCGGCAGGTTGCCCGCGACGCGCTCGCGTCTTTCTGCCGCGAGGCCCGCCTTGCGCGGTAGAAACCATCCAGCTACGTCGTCCAGCGTGCTGAGGTCCACTTCGGTCTCGCGTAGCTGTTGGAGACCAGTCTCGACGCGAATGAGCCAATCCGCCATGCGTTTACCACGCCAGCGGTGGGGGAGAGTCGAGTCGAAAAACTTCTCGACGGTCTCGCTCTTCTGCGCCAGCTTCTGCTGACCTAGATTTGCCTCCAGGGTTCTCGATGCCAAACTGGTTCCGGTTGCGCTTCTGCTCGCCCGCGTCTTCGACGTCGTCCGCAGCAGCCGGTGCAGTTCCACGCCCGTCACTTTAAGCGCCGCCGCCCTCGCTGCCACCGTCGACTTGAGCGCGAGCTTGGACGCGAGGCTCTGGCTGAACTCCAGATTCTCGCTGGACTTCCACAGTATCACCTACTGCTTGTAGTCTCTTCACTTGGGCAGGGTCGCCTTTCCACGTGGGAACGATCGACTGGCCGTAGGCGCTGTGTGAATCCGTCATTGTGTCTATGTGCTTGGCGTTCTGGTTGGTTGTGAAATTGAACGCGTGGCTGCTGAAGTAATGGTTGAACTTGTGGGCTTCGCTGAAGTCCCGGGAAAATGCGAAATTGAACTTCGCTGAAACCCTGCGAAGAGACGAAATTGAGCGAGAGAGCTTCGCTTAAGTCCTGAGTGTAGGCGTCGGACTGGGCGTCGCTGACGTCCGGGAGGTAATCAATGAATGAAGGCGTTGGGATTGTGATGGGCGTCGCTGACGTCCGGGAGGTAATGAATGGCGGCGTTGGGACGGTGATGGGCGTCGCTGACGTCCGGGAAGTAGTGAGTGATGGGCGTTGGTCTGAGCGTCGCTGGCGTCCGAAAGGAAGGTGATGAGGGAGCTGGGTTAGGCGGGGCAAGCGTCCGGGAAATAGGAGTAGGTCCCGGCGGCGCAGATCGCCCGCAAGACGCCCCTGGGCGTCGATTCCGTGGCTCGCGACGGCGTCGTCGTAGCTGGTATGGAAATGGCGCGCGGCGCCAGGCAGTTGAGATCCGTTTCAAGGTACCTCTGTGATATGGAATGGCGCGCGGCGCCAGCATTTTTTTTCTTTGTTCGCGCGGTGCGGCGATGCGTAACCCTTAGGCCAAGGTGTATCGAACTGCTTGGGCCGAAACGGACAGCGGGAGACAGGGCAAGAGCAGCAATAGTGAGAGCAGGGAGCGAGGCGGAAACTCGGCGGAAGGACGATCGACATGCCATCGAATCGACCGGAACCACAAATATGAGTGGGTCCAAGTGCGGCCTTTCAAGATTCCTGGTGCCTCCTCGTGCCTCCTCGTGCCTCCCAGAGCCACCAGAGGCCTCCGGGCGCTCCTTGGGGCCTCCAAGAGCCTGGTGGAGACCGCTGGGGCCTCAAAAGGCCTCCTGGGGGATCCTTCGACCTCCTGGGGGCGGTGCGATGCCTGCTACGTCGCTATGGCCTTGGGGCTCCAAGGAAAGGCTCGACGGCTGGGCCAACACAGGCTTCACAGCTCTGGACAAGCTGTGTGCAAACAGGCCGCCGAACACCCCTGGTCGACACCTCCTGCGAGGCTCACGTCCGACGCCTGCTACATCGTAGAGATCTACTGGGCCAAAACTTGCGCTGGCTTGAAAGATCCCGACGATCTGGGCACGAACGGGCCCGTGGAACACCCGTGGTCGACACCCCCCCTCCTCCTGAGGCCCAAATGCGATGCCTGCTACATCGCCGAAGTCATGGGGTTTTGACGCGTCCTGTGCAACCAGCCTCGACCTGATCCCTATCCCAAAGATTGACAAGCCCTAAAGCGGTGACAATCTCAGGGATGTGGCCTCGGCAACCGAGGGATTCCTTCAGATCGGCATCAATATATGGGGATGGCCACCAACTGGGTGAAGGTATGTTTCAGGCTGGTAGCACCAGGCCAGAACGGGCGTTCTGCCTCAGAAGTCTGGACAATCTGGGCGCAAAACAGGCGTGCGGAACACCCTTGGTCAACTCTCCCTTGCGAGGCCCAAACGCGATGCTTGCTTCATCGCTGTGGACCAAAACGGACATTCTGCCTCAGAGGTCCTGGCGATCTGGACGTGAGCGGCAAGTGGAACCCCTCTGGCAGCAACGCCCAAAACGCGACCATTTTCGCGCCCTTGGGGGCGACTTGGGCAACTGTGGTCGGAAGACTTGCCCCCCCCCAGAAATCCCGATGCTTCCAAATTATCCACAGATCCCTGAGCGAGTCCACGGAAGACCAAGGTGGTCTCTGGAGGCCCCCGAAGGCTCTGGAAAGCCTCAGAAATCAACGACAGAACAAACTAATCAAATTGCCCGTCCTCCGGGGTCCCCGGGGGACATCCCGCCCTGTGGTGGGGGAGGGTGGTCCCAGGTCAGAATGCCGCCCCCGCCCAGGTCCATATGGGTCCCGTGGGGGGGGGGGGCGCGAGCCAGGGTCCTTGGGGAGGTCCCCGCTTCAGGGTCGGCGGCACCAGCCGTAAGACCTTCACAATCACATCGACTCGATCATCATCCTGCCCCCCTCCTCCCCCTCCTCTGCGAGCGCCATCGGATCTGGCGCTCCGCAGCCGGCCGTCTCCTCCGCGGAAGGGCCCCGCCGCTCCACTCCCTCTCCGCGCGAAGGCAAGAGAGATGCAGTGCGAACGGGCTCGAGGGGGGGCGAGCGGGAGGCGCACGCGAGGGGGGCGCTGGGGAGGCGGAAGGGATGAGAGAGCGTACTATGCAACTACAGTCAAAGCTGATAGCCCCTTGGACGCTCATGTCCACACTTGTCGAACGGGGCTGGCCATCGAAAATGATTAAGAATGGACCGAGGAGGCAAGGATGCAAAGGTACCCAGGATGAGGTTACCCATCCCTACCGTCGGCTTCGTCTGCATGCAAGCAGGGATTAAAGAAATCAAAGAAGTAAACGTCAGGCTCCCAACTTGAACAACTTGGGCGCGTGGGCATATGATGGTATGTTGTTTGGGCGTGCGAGCTTGTCATGCTCCACTGCCCAAATGAACCGCCTGGTGGTCTCGACCCGGGCGCGCGAAACCGTGTGGTGCCCCCTTCTGTGCCCAGCCCGTCACGCTCAGAAGGCCTTCGTATCTCCCATATTGGGGAATAGTGGGTGAACGGTCCGTTCCCCCCTGACACCGCACCATCATTGCTCGAAGTTCACTGGGACGTCTCTGCGGCGCCACTGGGATCGTTCGGCCACTGCTGCCGCGCGCACTTCGGGCCGACCCCGACACCAGGCCGCCGAGAGAACGACGGAGGACGGGGGGGAGGCCCCAAGCAAGAAATGATGCCACCACCTTGCGGCACCACGCCTCCGAGAAATCATGTCCCCCCCCTCCCGGATAACGGTAATGATCGTACGTGGGGGGGGGGGGGGAGGGGAGCTTCAGCCACAAGGGAAGAGAGCTGGTGATCAAGCACATCGGCACTGCCGTCCATGACATGCGCGGCAATGGCACTCCTGGCAATGGTCATACCAAGGAGCTCGAAACTCACTCACGAGTCCACGTTCGATTCCCCCTTGCCTGGAAAATGCGCCTTCATTGCCCCTGTCAACATTCCCGAGAATCTCGTTGCGAAGCGTTGCTCCCAACCGCATGTGGTCGACTGTGAGAGGTTCAAGATTCTCCGCGAGACGGACGCGAATCAAGTTGCTGACGAGCCACGAGTCAATCTGGAAGTCTCTGTCGGCATCGCTCTCCCAGCGCTGGACCAAGGCGGGCCATGGACAGTGCAGATAAGGCTCCTAGTGAACCCAGCAAGTGTACACATTATGGAACTTCTTGGCAACATTGTGCACCAAATGGCGGAGACAGGCGGCGTCGGGCACACGTCCACGAAGCAGCAACCTGGTACGAAGAAGATCGATGCGCTCGAGGCGCTGGGGATCCAGGATGACCCAGATGCGATCGAGAACGCCTCCAATCCACTGACCGGCCTAGCCTGGCGACCAGTCACAGACGTCCGACAGCTCACGAAGAGATGACATACCCCATCGTGGGTACAGATGTTGCTGGGACGAACGCCACAGGAAGGACAATACTCAATCGGGGTCTAGTCGGTGCTGTCGTGATCGGTTCGGCAGGACGCGGGGGATGGATCAGGTGCCGATGGCGCGGGGCCCGCGCATGAGAAGGGTTACAGGATTCGACAAAAAATGCCTGGCGCCACGGATCGGCCCGATTCCGCCACAGCAGGATGGCCTCCCGCGTCGTCAGAGGGAAGGGCGGCGCGACGAGCTCCTCAGACTCGCGGAGGGCAACGCGAGGCGGAGCTGGGATGCCCCCAGGCTCAACCTGTTCCAAATGAAGATCGATCGATGATGACCCTGCGCAGTCCACGAGTCTCCTCAAGCACAACAAGACATAATGTCAGGAGAAACCACAATGGCCTCATCGGAAAACAATGGTCTCAATTGGAACAAAATCAAATAGTATTCAGTGAAATCAATGGTCTCATCCGAGAACAATTTCTGGCATGCCTTGTCCAAGAAATATGACTTGGCATCTTCCCGCGCAATTTTGTGTTGGACGGGCCCAAGGGAATTCTTTGCCCACGAGGAGTTACTCGGGCTTGACCGCAGCAGTGGTTGTGAGCAGCCGACAACATTGCTGCGGGTGCTGCCAGCCCAGGAATGTGTCAGCTGGCAGAAGAAAACTACATGTTCCTGAGAAGTTTCGTCGTGACGATGGTAATATTGCTCCAAGTTGGGCCTGGGATAGGCTGAGGAGCCATCCATTCCTACTCCTTAGCCTCGCGCTCTGGGGCGGGGGTGGGGTCGGCACTCTCGTCGGATTGTCCTGAATCTGCTCTCTCGGGATGGCTATCCGAGTATGGGGTCGACTGGTCTGGCGGGTGAGTCTGTGACAGCCGCGTGAAGCGCAATCGCAACAACTCGGGATCTGATGTCACGATGAATGCCCAAAGATGAATATGTATCAAACACGCCAACATAAACATAAACATACTTTCTCGGAGATCAGCGCTGCTTTCTTGGATCGACCGGGGGAAACAAGGCGGATACATACTTGGACTGGAACAACTCGGGGAACTCTGAGATCCGGTGGTTTTGTAGGCGGTTCTGGAAGATGTGTTGGGGGCCTCCCAGGCGGGGGTGTCGCAAATCATGGCCCGAGGCATGTGCGCGGCCTGGGGGCGTGGGGCAACGAACGCATGTTTAATACGAAGGGGGGCATGACAACTGGGGTGAGACAATGGCTCCAGCCATGAAATTTATCCCCCCTAGACGTCACCCGCGGCCGCGGCCGTTCCAGAGCACTCCGACACGCCCTGGAAGCGTTCTGGAACGCTCTGACACGACCCATCCCAGACCTGTGCCCGCCCGACGACCCCCCGTCCCCCGAAGGAAACAACAAAACATCATAAACGTAAACTGTGGGAGTTCCGCCGCGCATAACGTGGATCTGCCCTGGATCGCCTCTCTGGCGCGCGGAGCGCGCCAGGGGCGGCGCCGGAAGCGCCGCCAGGGCGCGGGCCCAGCGCCGATCTAAGAGATCAGCGCGGAACCCAGAAAAATTATTACATGTTTGCGCCGCGTTTCGTTTGTCATAATCCTAGTCCCGGGCCCGCCCGCCGACCCTGAAGGCCGCCCAAATGGGGTCGAAGTAGATGAAGTCGGTGAATCGGGCCGCATCACCAATGCATCGCCGATGCAACGGCGATGCATCCGCGACGTCGGCGATCGACAAGAAAAGTCGGGCTCTACATCGAGCCGCATCGCTGATGCATCGGCGACGCGGGGCAATCCTCCAACCCCGTCTACTCGGACCCCATATGGGAGGCCTGGAGACCTCCTCCCCCTCCACGCCCGCAGGTCCCCGGTTGTGTCATGAGGACAGTTGGCGAGGAGTTAGCCGCAGCGCATCTTGGCAGGAAACACGAGCGCATCTGCCGACCCGCCCACGCGGCCCGCAGGATGCATGGCCATCTTGCTTGCCTGATTCTCTTGGCCCTGGACCCGCCCGACGACCTCCCCCCCACCCCGTGGCCCGCAGGCGATGCGCCAAACAAAAGCGCGCCCATGACGCCACGAGGCCCGCGCGGCGGGGGAGGGGCCGGAGGCGGCAGTCCTGCGAGGCCCGAGGCCTCACGCGGAGGGCGGCGGCGCGCGGGGCGGGCGCGCGAGGCGAAGGCGGCGGCGGCCGCGACCGGCGCCAGGGCGAGCAAGGCACGGCCAGGACGGCGGCGGCCAGCGGCGACCAGGGCGAGGGGGAGGCCGAGGAGAGGAGGGGAGGGGGAGGAGGAGGGGAGGAGGAGGAGGAGGGAGAGAGGTGGGGGGGTCCAGAAGTGGCCTTCTCTCTCTGTCTCTCCCTCTCTCCCCGTCCTCCCCCTCATCACGCTCATCATGTCATGGGCGACCAGGGCACGGCGGCCACCGACGACCACGGTGATGACGAAGGGGAGGCTGAGGGGGAGGGGGGCGAGGAGGAAACGAAGGGAACGACCAAACGAACAAGCCTCGGAACCCGCTGTCTGGTCTACAACACCTTCGCCGCACTGGATCGGACCAAGAAAGACGGGGACGGGGAGGACGAAACGGATGGGGGCAGGGGACGGAGGTGGTCCTCCCTACGTATCTCCGTCCTCCCCCTCCTCGTCCTCGCCACTGCCGCCACCATGCTCGTCATATCTATCGTCATCTTTATCGTCGTCGTCGTCGTGTTCGTCATCCCGTCACCATCCGCGTCGTCGTCGTATTCGTCCTTGACTTCGTTTTCGGTTCTGGTGCCACGCTTCCGCTCCCGCTCCGAATTTTTCTCCTGTTGCTCCTCCTCCTACTCCTCCTTTTCCTCCTCTTCCTCCTCTTCCTCCTCCTGATCCTGCTCCTGATCCCGCGACTGCTCCTCCGTTCCTGACCGTGTACCGTGTACCTGTACCTGACCCTGGAGGCCGTTCCACTCCTCCTTCGAGCAAGTCTGTCAGAACGCACCACTTTCCCTGGACTCCATGAGCACAAAGAACGGTGGTAAAGAACCGCGCGAACACAAAATTGGACTCGGTGACCAAGCCCCAGCGCCGACGGACTGGCCGGCCAGCTCGCGCACGACGGGCACATCCCGCCGTCGCCTCCCGGAGAACGGCCGCACCTGCGGCGCAGACGCCCCCGAGGCACGTGCGCAGCTGCCCGGCCTGGCCGACAGCCCAGCGGGCCGTCGCCGCCTGCAGGACGACCGACAACTCGGCGCCCCAGCGCTGCGTCAGGGCACTGGCCGCTGCCGAACTGCCCTCGTCCTCCCCCAGCTCCCGGGCAAGGCTCCTCGCGAGGAGCCGCAAGTGGCGCATTGCCGTCATGCCGTGGCGCTTCCCTTTTTCCAAAGCCAAGGGAAGCACCGACCACGGCGCGCACCCAGCTGGGTGCTCGGCATTGCCCAGCACGGTGTATCGGACAGTGATGTCCGTGAACATGCGCGGGCAGCCTGGCGCCTGTTCTTCGAGGTCCAGAATGGCCTCCTCGCGGTCCACCTGCAATGGGGCCCCGCACCCGCCGCAAGGCCCCGCTGGCGGGTAGAGCGTCGTGCCTCGTCTGCTACAGGACGCGCAGCTCCAGGCCCACCGGTCCCAGGTAGGGACGTGCACTTCGCGCGCTGTGGTAGCTGCACTCCCTGTGGATGCGCTCACACGCATACTCCACTGCGCGGCTGCGCGCCTTCACGCCGCCGCTGCAGGCGCACCGGAAGGCGTGGCTCGCTTTGGAGCGCAGCGGCTCCCCGCAAAACTGGCCAGCTCGCGGGCCCGTGCGCGTGCGGTTGTGGCAGCGGGCGCCAGGGGGCGCGCAGTCCTGACCCAGCAAGGCGCAAGGCGTCTCACACTAGTCTGCGTCGCTGAGCCTCTGTCCCTCGGCCCCAGGGGAGGCCAGCTGCCAGCTGGCTGCGTGCGGCCCGCCGCAGGAGGTCAGGCTCGCCCGTTCCTCGAAGCTTGCACTGCCCCTACAGGTTGTTAAGTTGTTGTTGATCTAGCCTTTGCGAAAGCCTCTTCCATAGTTTCTTGTTGCGCCAGCCTTTTCCACTCCTCAACTTCATCGTCCTCATCCTCCTCGTTCTCCTCCTCGTCATCCCGATCACCATCACCACAAGTGCCATCATCATCATCATCAGCATCATCATCATCATCATCATCATCATCATCATCATCATGATCATCATCATCATCATCATCAGCAGCAGCAGCAGCAACAGCAACAGCAACAGCAACAGCATCATCATCATCATCATCATCATCATCATCATCTGCATCAGCAGTATCATCATCCTCGTCATCATCATCATCATCATCACAATCATCATCATCATCACCATCACCATCACCATCACCATCACCACCATCATCGTCACCACCATCACCGCCATCGTCATCATCACCATCACATCACCATCACCATCACCATCACCATCGCCATCACCATCACCATCGTCACCACCGTCACCATCATCATCATCATCATCATCATCATCATCATCATCATCATCATCATCATCATCACTACCATCATTCTCATCACCCACATCACACCATCATCATCATCATCCACATCATTATGATAATTCGCATTATGATACATCATGGCCATCAGCAACATCAACATCGTCGTTAGCATTATCATCCCCCGTGATTTCCCTTACCTTTTTCGCCGTCCTGCTCCACCTCGGGAGCGGATTACTGGAGAACCCTCTCTCTCGTTCCCCTCCTCCTGTTACCCCTCCCCGTTCCAATCAGGAAAGAGACAACCACAACACACGGCAAACACAGATACAACAGAGGAAAACCGTGTCCCCTTAGGACGCGCCCCCCTCGAAAGACTACCGCCCTGGGAGCCTGCCGTTCAGACGAGAGCCTCGTGTTGAACAACACATGCGTGGCATCCTCTTGGAAAGTTCTACGGACAACGATGCTATACGATCATAAAAGTCGACGAAACATTAAATGATAACCCCATTTTCAAACCGAGCCGCCCTCCACCCGTGCAACTGCTACACCTGTATTTACAAGTGCGGTCGTTCAATTGGAGGAAGTCCGTAACGAGAGCCCCATTTTAAAAAGGGGCGCCATCCATCCGTGCAGCTGCTACACGTTTTCAAGCTTCGGGCCGTTCTTTTAAAGAAAAGAGAACGCAAACGCCTATCATCGGGACGGGCGGTAAGGACGCAAGACCCTTCGAGGTCGAAGATGAGATATGTTGGGCAGCGGGCTGCCAAATCCCCTGGGCCACAACTATGCCCTAGCCCGCCCCAGTCTTTGCCGATTCGGTGCCGGGGCCCACAGCAAAAACAACGCAAGGACGCAAAGGTAGCCTCAACATCCGCGCGTCCCTCCGGACATAGCGCCATCAAAGGCACCTGCTCGGGTGGGCAAAGCGGTGGGGCAAGGACGCGAACGGAGCCCTTGCCTTCTCCGCGGACCATAAGGGGTGCCTCGCCCCGCGGCCGAAGATGTGCGGGCCGAAGGGGCAAAGGGCGCGGAAAAGGGCCTTGCCTTCTCCGCGTCCTTTGGGCACCCCGCCCCGCGGCCGAGGCGGTGCGCGCCGAAGGGGCAGGGGCGGTGTGCGTCCCGAGGGCCACGTCCGAGGAGGGCGGCCGAGGGCACTGGGAACGCGCCCCAGAACAGCCAAGAACCCCTGCCTGGCCCGCGGCCTCAGGGCCACGTCCGCCCGCGAACGAGGCGACGGCCGAAGCGGGAGCGGCGCGCCCAAGGACGGCCAAAAGAACTTTGCCCGGCCCGCGCCCTGAAGGCAACACCCGCCCGCGAAGGAAGACCGCAACCGAGGGCAGCAGCGACGCGCCCAAGAACGGCAGAGGGAACCCTGCTTGGCCAACGTCCTTAGGGCCACGCCCGCCCGCAAATTGAGCGACGGGCGAGGACGAGGGCGATGCGCCGAAGGACGGCCTAAGGTACCCTTCTAGCCCGCGTCCTTAGAGCTGCCCCCCGGAGGAGCGCCCCGCCGCGCAGCCGAGGGACGGCACCAGCCCCAAGGGTGCTCTGAAAGGCTGGCCAGTGAAAACGGCTAAGGACAGGCCGCAAAAGCAAGGACCCAAGGGTACCCTAGGAAACGGCGTGTGTCCCGGGTTTTGACTCTAAGTCAGAGTCGCATGTCGATAAGGAACCACCCTCCGATATGTTAAAACGGGTGCGAACGGCGTTGAGGCGAGAGCCACCTGTCGAAAGCGCACCACCCTCCATCCTTGTAACTGTTGCACGATTTTAATGTAAATGTGCACGACGCTGAGGCGAGAGCCCCATTTTGCAAAAGAACCACCTTCCATCCTTGTAACTCATGAAAATTTCGGAGAGGTTCAAGGCGATAGTATCCCCAATCAAATCGTGAGGAAATGCCCGGCGAGACGCCTAGACAACCCTACCGACACGTCTGGTGGTGCGACGGGGGCGAATTACCTACAAAGCAACAGGATGGAGGAGTAATACTCCGAGGGATATGTAATATATATACATATGTATATACGTATGTGTGTGCATGTATGTTTGTATCGATGTGTGTATGTATGCATGTGTATGCATGCATGCATGCATGCATGCATGAATGTTATGTATGTATGTATGTATGTATGTATGTATGTCTGTTTGTCTGTTTGTCTGTTTGTATGTTTGTCTGTTTGTCTGTTTGTCTGTTTGTCTGTTTGTCTGTTTGTTTGTTTGTTTGTATGTTTGTATGGTTGTATGTATGTATGTATGTATGTAGGTATGTGTACATGTATGCATACAGATATGTATGTATGTATGTATGTATGTAGGTAGGTATGTATGTATGTGTGTATGCATATATGTATGTATGTGTGTATGTATGTATGTATGTATGTATGTAGGCATGTATGTAGGTATATATAGATGTATATTGGCATATATACTTGTATGTAGTTACGCATATTTATGTGTGTGTATATGGTATAGAAGGGGAAGTGCGGACACGCAGAAAACCTTGACTTCCTTAAGTACTCAACAATGAAAGGCTTCCTGGGTTCTGTTTGGGGGGGTGAGGGGGGTCTGAGTTGTGGTCTGTTGTGCAAGAGTAGACCGGGGGGCAAACTTGAAAAAACAAAGAATTGTGGGATTCCCATGTTTTTCCAATTTCTCGGCGCTGTCCGGCGCTGATTTTTGTTTGTGCCTCGCGTGTTTGTTAGCTGGGCCCCTAAGGGGTGTGGGATCCTCCGGACCCCCTAGGGGTTCTGGAGGCCTCCTGGAGGCCTGGAGAGCCGTCGGAAGGGTGTCTCGGGCTGCGCGGGAGCGTGTTGGGCCATTCTTTACGTTCTGGGGGCTCTTTGGGGTCGTCTTGTGCTGTCCTTGGCCTCCTGGGGGCCCCCCGGGAAGCTGGGAGGCGCGGTACCGGCCAGATGTCAGGGGATGCGTGGGATCTCCGAGTAGGAGTCCCACTTTGAAAAAAAAGGGAATTCTGGGAATTCCCTTTTTCTTCAAAATCCTAGATCTTCGAGGGTTGGAAGCGGGAAAACGCGAGAAGGCAAAAAACCTTAGAAAAAACAGTGTGAATCAACGATTTTTACCCTCTTTGGGCTCTCTCGGGACGGCTCTCGCAGCTCTCTTGGGCTGTTCCTCCAGCCTTGTCGGGGTCGTTCTGGGGCCTCTCAGGGATCGGGGGTGTGTTGGGGCCTCTGGGGGGTCCCCGAGGCCTCTCGGAGGTCTCTGGAAGCCTCCTGCTCCCGCTCTTGGGCCCATCTTGGGCCTGTTCTGGGGTGGTCTGGGGCTGTCCTGGTCGCCTCTTCGGCAGTCTTGGGGCGGTCTTGGAAGCCTCTTCGGCGCTCTTAGACCATTGGAAGCTCGAAAACGAGAGAAGGCCAAAACCATAGAAACACAATCGAAATCGACGATTTTGGCATCTTCGGGCCGTCCCAGGACCCCTCTCGGACCTCTCTCTTGGGGTCTCTTGGAGGCCACCTGGGAGCCTCGAGAGCCGTCGGAAGGCTGACTTGGGCTGCTTGGGAGCGTCTTGGACCATCCTTTCGCATTCTGGGGGCTCCTGGGAGGCGTCGTGGGCCCTCCTGGGGCGCTGTGGAGGCTCTCTGGAAAGGCCGGGGGAGCGGTACCGGGAACGTCCCCGAGATATCGCGGGGAGGTGTGGGAACCGGGGCCGGGGGGGCGGCATTTATTCATATTATAAATTTGTGTATATATATGTATAAATGTATAGGTTTACTTATATTTGTGTCAACATATACACACCCACTCCTCTAGGTCACCGAAGGTCGTGCTTCGCGCTGTGCGAAGCGCTGATATCGTTGCGCCCCAACGCCGCCCTCCCCAGACCCTGAGTACGCATGCCAGTATGCTGCCTGAGGGGCTCCAGCAAGAGGAACGAGGGAGACAGGCAGACGGGTGAGGAGGGAAGACGGACGAGTCATTTACGCCACCCATTGGGATCCGCGCCGTCTTCGGTGGTCTGCCGAGACGCCGAACAAAAAAAAAACTGAAGCCCCTGAGGCAGCATAGCATGAGCTAGCGGAGCACGAACGCCAAGGCAGATGAACATCGGCGCGCGCCTGCACGCAACAAACAACACGAGGCAACCGTCACGGAATGCGAGGGGGGAACAGGGGAAAACGACAAACGGACAAAGAAGATGCAATGCACCGCGCCACGTCGAAGCGAAAGGGTTCGAAGACACGCTGTAGCTGAGACAGCCAATGGGATGGGGGGATGGAGGATGAGAAGGCGGTGCGATGCAAGCAATGTGCTAGAGCCTCGGACCGAGCAACGATCGGGTCGAAAAAAAGATGGGTAAGTAAAGGCGGGATTGGCGAATCAGCTCACGCAGTTGGCTTTCGCAACGCGCTCTGGCGCCGCAGGCGTCCATGCATAGAGGGCACCGCCCCGTGGTGGGCCGAAACTGGTGGCGTGCAGCAGATTTCGTAGCCCCCGACCTCTTCTTTCGCAGCGGCTTTGAGCTCACATTCCTCGCCAGATCGCCACAAGGATAGAACACACGTTGCATGAGAATCGGCGGAATGCCACAGATTGCGCGTCGTTTGGGCAATGCGCGGGGTATCCCGAGGTTGAATGCAGGCATTCAAAATCAGGTCACGAGCATCCCAAAAGGAGTCGTTCCGCCCAAGCCTTCGTCCGTGCCGAGATTGTGTCGATGTCCCTGCCCCCCTGAATCAATCCCTCCCCTCTCTCGCTGCCATTAAGGGGAGGCGCGGGAAGAGCGGGCCGTCGTCGACGACGATGATGACGGCGACGGCCACGTCGACGACGACGCCGAAGACAACGACGACGATGTCGGCGGCATCGGCTGTAGAGAGCGCGGCGTTCCCAGAGAGACTCGGGCTCGGAGGACGAGGGCTACGCCCATACACCGACCCTGGCCAGGCCCACTCTGAGCCCCAGACGGTGCACACGCCCTCCTGGCCTTACCAAGGAGGCACACGCACTGATCCCAAGCCCAGGAGAAAGCAGGTCAGGATCGATCGGGAGAAAAGCAAGAACGGGATGCGCGGATTTCCTGGATCGGCGCTGGACCCGCCTCCACGCCACCCCTTGGCGGCACCTTTGGCGCCGCTGGCGGCGCGCTCTGCGAGCCTGCGCTCTGCGCGCCTGGGAAGTGCCAGGGGAAGGGTGTGGTGGGGAGGGTCCAACGCCGACCCAGGAAATCCTCGCGGACCTCAGATGTTTCGCTGCATGGTCGGTTTGCCCTTCTGCCAGCGCATGTGCATGCAGTCGGGGCTGATTCCAGAGGACACCCGAGAGGGCGCGAACCCCTCGAGTGCAACCCTTGCTGCAAACATGAAGAGGTCACCACACGCGATGACAGGACACAAGGATACCCTTTGACGTTGCATGGTCGACCTGTAGTAATCAAGCCCGCCTTTGTGCAAGTGCTTGTTACTGTATCGGTGCCTTTGCACAGCTCTCGTCGCCCGAGGCGGTCACCAGGACGGAGGAGCGGGGAGATCCGCCTGCCGCAGCGCGACGGGGATGGGAGCTCCGCCGCCAGGGAGTGGATGCTCCTGTCTGGAAGCGCCTCGCCCGCGCGTGCGCGTGCCAAAGGCGCGCCCGCCAAGGGCCTTGCCGTCATCGCCGCCGTCGCCAGGCCGTCGCTGTCGTGGTCGTCGTGGTCATGGCCATGGCCGTCGTCGTGATTATCGCCATGGTCGCGGTCGTCAGCGTGGTCGTGGTCGTGTTGTTGTCGTCTCGAGCGCGCCCAGAAGGTGCTGCAACGAGCCGCGGAGAGAAGCGCGGGACACAGCCAGGAGCGTTCAAGGCAAAGGATGGAGGCGTGCTAGTTCTCCAGGGGCCAAAGAGGGCCCCCTGATCGGTCCAAGGCGACCAACGAAGGTGCCGAGAGTCCCAAGACGGCCAATCACGCCCCCAAGAAGACCCCAGCGAGCGACCGAGCGAGCGAGGCGCCAGTGCAGGCTCATGCGGCGAAGCGCGTATATCTGTGCCCGATAGGGCAAGGCGCGTGAGACCGTATCCCTTGAAAACCATGCAGCGCTCTGACACGGCCAAACGCCAACAAT